GTTTAGGGTTTAGGGTTTAGGGTTTAGGGTTTAGGTTAGGGTTTAGGGTTTAGGGTTTAGGGTTTAGGGTTTAGGGTTTAGGGTTTAGGGTTTAGGGTTTAGGGTTTAGGGTTTAGGGTTTAGGGTTTAGGGTTTAGGGTTTAGGGTTCAGGGTTCAGGGTTCAGGGTTCAGGGGTCAGGCGGGCTGCAAGGAATCTGAAAAAGCTTCGGCAAGCTCAGCCAATTCTCTGAGCTGGAGGCAATCAGAGTCCCAGTAGCCAGGCCTGAAAGGAGGGCTTGAGTTAGGATTTGTTGAAGGTTCCTGTACTTAGTTAGCTTCAAGTGTTCAGGATGAGCCCTGAACCTAAACCCTACACCCTAAACCCTAAACCCCAAGAGCAGAAACTTTGGCAGCTTCATCTTCGTGCGCGGGTGTCATACCAGAGTCTCATTGATGGCGCGGGGCTTCATAGATGACAACTATGGAGTGCTGAGGGTTTAGACCCTTGTGTCGTGAACCTGTGCAAACCTCCATGTCTGCAAAGCTTCGTGACCTTAAGAAGCCCTGAAACCCTACAACCCGAAAGCCCCTAAAGCCCTAAAACCCTAAAGCCTAAGCCCTAAACCCAAAAGCCCTAAAGACCCCCTTTCTCCCCGAGCTTCGCACTTGCATTGGCACGTGGGGGCTGTCGCGGAGGGGCTGTCCAATGAGCACTTCTCTGTGCCTGTGAGGGGCTGTTGAGCATCATAGGGTTTTGGGGTTTAGGGTATAGGGTTTAGGGTTTAGGGTTTAAGGTTTAGGGTTCAGGGTTTAGGGTTTAGGGTTTGGGGTCTAGGGCTTTGGGAAGCAGGAATCCGAGTTTTCAGAGCAAGCGGGCTGTGATGCGAAGATCCCCGACCCCTCAGCGCACACAGAACTCGTTTGGGAACTGCCTGGGACGCAAGGCCCATAATATTCGGGGTTACCCTAAACCCTAAACCCTAAACCCTAAACCCTAAACCCTAAACCCTAACCCTTAAGAGTTTTAGACCTTTGGGCCCTTCCTTCTTTCCGAACACTCGAATTGCTCGACGTGGAGTTTCTGGCTTCTAAGGAGCAGAAAATGAGGGTGCTGCCCATGATAATGGTCACCACAGTGAGTCAGGCCACTGCAACAGTTGCCCCGAAACTCCAAAACCCTAAACCTTAAACTCTAAACCCTAAACCCTAAACCCTAAACCCTCAACCCTCAACCCTAAACCCAAACCCTAACCCCCAAACCCCAAACCCTAAACCCTGAAGGCACCCAAAATTGCTGCAGCCCTTGAAGGGGATAGGCACCTGTCGTCTCGCAGTAGTCTGCACCTGAGCATGGTGACATCCAGCACCTAAGCCTAAGCCCTAGCAGAGACCCCTACGCCCCCCACGCCCCAAACTCCAACCCTCAACCCTAAGCCCTAAAGGCCAAACTCACCGGGATCTGGTTCGGGAACCCTTGCAAAGCATTAGAGAACCTGCCCATGGAGACGAAGAACCGTGTGATGAGGCCGCACCACAATCTGAGATCGGCACAGATGCCGCTGCAGTCTGTGTTGAAATGCTGGTCGTCACATTGGCATTCTGCACCTCGGTGTGAGATTTAGGATTTGGCCAGGACCCCTGAAGCCGGAAACCCCAAACCCTGAACGCGGCATCTTGCTTTCCTAAACTAGGCCAAAGTCCCAGGTCTTCTTCTGAAAGTGATGCACGCAGTGACATTCTGAGGCCGTGTAGGGTGGGTCTAACTTGAGTCGGACATGCAAAGTCTTGCTTTGAGGGTTTGGGTTTCGAGTTTCGGGGGCTTGTGGCTTCGAAGGAAGATGACACCCTTCAGCAGGGACCCTCCCAAGGTCTAGCAGGTGCGGAGGCCCTGGCTGATAGGATCGCAAACCCCAAAGCCCGAGCAGGTCGTGGCTGGATTGCAGAAGCCTGGCAGGCGCGCAGCCTACTGGTAAACCCGAAAACCTAAACCCTAACACCCTGGGCCCTAAACACCACAACGGAACACACGGTCCTAAGTTGAAATGTTGCTCTTGCACTTTTTGGTTACTTGGGGGAAACCTGGTGGGGGACTTTCTACTTGAGTGTTTCGGGTTCAGGGTTAGGGGTTTGGGAACGTTTAGGACCCTAAACCCTCAACCCCAAACCCTAAACCCTAAACCCTAAACCTTAAACCCTAAACCCTAAACCCTAAACCCAGCTTCACCAAGCGCGGCAGCTTGTCGAGAGCAGGCTTCGATGACGGTCCTCAGCACAGCACGCGGCACTGAAGTGTGCTGACCCCACAAAAGGGTTCAGGGTTCAGGGTTTAGGGTTTAGGGTTTAGGGTTTAGGGTTTAGGGCACCCTTTTCGTTCCTTAGCTTTACAAACTACCACGCGGAGAGAGAGAGAGGGAGATAGAAGCAGATACATATCTACATATAGGCATAGACACATACCTATATCTATACTTCTATATATGTAGTCAATCGGCTACTTTGCTAATGATCTTTAGTCAATCATGTGCGAAGACAAACTCCTTACCTTCGAGCCTGGTTTAGGGATCCGGCGAAACGGTTTGGGATGCGCAAGGGCTGTAGCGTTGAAAGCGTCGGGTTTCGGGTTTGAGGCCCTGGGCTCTGAGATTCGGATTTTAAGGCTTCAGGATTTGGGGCCAAGAACCCCAAAGCCTAAACCCTAGTCCCTAGTGTCGTTCGCGGAAGGCGTTGGAAGGCATTTTGGGGTTCCAACAAGTAGTGTAGGGTGTAGGGTTTAGGGTTTAAGGTTTAGGGTTTAGGGTTTAGGGTTTAGGGTTTAGGGTTTAGGGTTTAGGGTTTAGGGTTTAGGGTTTAGGGTTTAGGGTTTAGGGTTTAGAGCGTAGGGTTCAGGGTTTAGGGTTAAAGGGTTTAGGAATCATGGAGCGGCCCATCGGGATCCTCTATGTTAGGAGACCCCACTCGGGGTCGACAGCCCCGAAGCCCGAACCTGCTGCGCCAGTTTCTTGGTAAGGCAGAATTGAGGGGCACTGAAGTGTGCTTACTTTACAAAAGGGTTTAGGGTTTAGGGTTTAGGGTTTAGGGTTTGGGGTTTAGGGTTTAGGGTTTAGGGTTTAGGGTTTGAACTTCAAATCCTGAAGCTCAAACCCTGGAAGCCAAAATCCCAGAACTAGAGCCCGAAGCCCAAGACCCTAAAACCCTAAACCTTTCAAGCCTACAACCCTAAAAACCAAGGCTTCGGGTTTCAAGTTTAGGGTTTAGGGTTTCTATACTGAACTTGGAACCCTAGAAACAAAACTATTGCTTTAGCTGTTCCTTAGCAATTCTAGGAAATTCCAAGTATCCCGATGGTTTAGGGTCTAGGGACAAGACCCCAAAACCCTAAACCCTCAGACTCAGAGCCCTGAGCTGGAAAAGCCATGCGCGTATCCGAAGCGTGACGTCCGTCAGAGTCACTTCATGGCCAGGGCCCCGGGCACAAAAGGCTCCACATCACCTCACACGCGTCTAAGCGGATCATGGTTTCATGAATACGGTTACGGTGCTTGTTACAAGGCGGCCCCACTTATTTGGGGTACCCGAAAAAGGACCAGAATGTAGAGAAGTGACCAATGTGCACACTGCACACATTCAGGCAGGGCCGGAAACGACTGGGGGTTCGGGATCCGATGCCTGTGATGTTCAAGGAGACGTTCATGGTGATGTTTGCGTAGCAACGCTTGCGCTCTCCTCCCAGAAGAAAGGTCGAGCATGCTCGACGCGGTCACACGAAGTGGATTGTCACAGGAGGTGCTCTAGGACACGGAGGTTACTGCTGAGGATTCCGGCAGGCTACGCAGACAAGATCGGGGGCTTCGAAGAAGCAGCTGCATGGCTGGCAAGCCGTCCTGTCAGCCCTTCCCAGGACACCTCGGCATTTTCGTCCGCGCCGGGAGACGCGTGCTAGAACGACCCTTGACGATGAAGCTGCATCAGATCAGTCCAAGCTGTCCACACACGACTGCACCCAGCTCAGCTCGGGACATTGGACATGTTGGATGCGTTGAACCAAGAGCTGTTCTCGTCGTCAGTGTCATTCAGCATGCTCAGCTCCATGGTGTCATTTGAGAGGTTCTCCTCTGACATGTTCTCGTCTTCGTCATCGCCTCAGCTGCACATGCCCCATTTCGAAGGGACTCTGCGCCAGGGCATGTATCCCGGCTTGGAAGCTTGTCTGGAGAATAGCGGGTAGTTCTCTACACTCAGGTCCCTTTTGAGGGCCCCTTTTGTAAGGGTGCTGTGTTGCATATCGGACCCAAAGAGGGACCCCAATTTAGAGAATTACCCATGTAGCGCAACTTGCAGGAAAAGACGCCCTGGACACTGGAAAGTTCTCCGCCGAAACCCGTCTAACCCAGCCACACATGGGGGGGTTTACCATATTAGGGGCACCTTATTGGGGTCCTGATTATAAGGAGATCCTTCCATTTGGGGGACTAGAGTAGAGGTCCCCTATTTTCGTAATCCCCCACATGCTCACACCGAGGCAGCGTGCTGGGGCAGTCCACTTCCACTATCTGCCACTCCTGCCCCAATGAAGCCACAAGAGTTCTCAGCTCTACCACACTTCAACTTCCCCTACCACCCTAAACTCCAAACCCTACACTGAACCCTGAACCCCAAACCCTGGTCACTGGGATTGGGTTTGGGGTGTAAGGTTGAATCTTTAAGGCTTAAGGGTTCTCAAGGTTTCCATGTGCAACGTTTAAGGTTCACGCTATACGGATCCTAAACCTCTTCGGCTCCTGCGCATAGAGTGCCGGAGGCTCTGGGTAGCCAAGAATAATCCGCACGTCCTGGCCAGACACCGAGCTCAAGTCTACATACTGGGTGTGTGGGGTTTGGGGTTTAGGGTTTAGGGTTTAGGGCTTAGGGTTCAGGGTTCAGGGTTCAGGGTTTAGGGTTTAGGGTTTGACAGGTTTGTGTGTTTCGGGCTCAGGATTGACATATTTAGAGATTTAGGGTTTAGTGCTCGTGGGCGTGGGGGTGCTATAAAACCCTATAAAGCCCCATAGGACCCCACAACACCCTCAACCCATAGGCCCCGCCTGGGCAGGGTAGTAGTGTGGCAGACACTGGCTGCAGGAGGACTCAACGGATCGAGCCCCAATGCCTCGGGAGAAGATGAGCTTGAAGCTTCAGGGGCTTAAGGGTTTGCGTTTTGGGCTTGAAGCTTCAGGCTTAGGGGTTCAGGTGGTTTAGGGCTTTGGGCTTGAAGCTTCGGGGTCTTAAGGTTTAGGGGTTCAGGTGGTTTAGCGAAGGTTCAGGGTCTTAAGGTTTAGGGGTTCAGGTGGTTTAGGGTTTAGGGTCTTGGGTTTAGGGTCTTGGGTTTAGCGGGTGTAGAATGATTCTAGGGCCTTCGGGGTTGCTTACGGATTCAGCGGCTGAGTTGTTACTTTTAAGGGCTTTGGGAGGTGCTTGAAGCTGTTTGGGTTCAGGGGTGTGGCGGGGAATCCGAGTCCGAGGCGGGCCGCGTAGCAACACTAAAGACCCTCAAGCCCGAAATGCCCCTATTAGGGACGCAGGGTTGCGCCCCCAAGGTTGTACCCCTGACCTCTGGGGTTCATATGGTGCCCACAAAAGGATTATGTAGGGGGACCTTCGAAGGGTACGACCTTATAGTGCCTTAGGAGTACAACCCTGGATGATACGTAACGCTAATCAAACCCTTGGGCCCTTTCAAGAAAAAACTGAAATTAAGCAACAGCTCATAACCCTGTCAAACCCAAAACGCCCCATTCTTGGACAGAGCTCCCCCACCAGGGGGGATCCGACACTGAGGACGCAGCAGACACACTCTCCGTTTTCACTGCACCTCGGTAGCTCCGTTGTTTTCTCCAGTTTGGCACAACCGGCGGCCCTATGTTCTTGGCAGCCCAAGACCCTACATAACCCCTACGCCCTGAAAACCTGAACCCCGCAAAACCCTAGGCCCCCAAAGCCCCAAAGCCCTCAAACCCTAAACCCCTACAGCCCCAAAGCCGTGCCCTGTTGGGCCCTCACGATTTCAAGCATATGGCTTCGGGAGTAGGGTTAAGGGTAACCCTAAACCCGCAGCCCTCAAGTTGACAGACTCTGCCTGTCTGAGTGCTGGACACGCCAAACCCGTTGCAAGTCGTCGTGCCATCACCTGACCACAGCGGCTACTGAGGGGTTCAGGGTTCAGCGTGATCGCCTAAGTAGAGCATTCTTGCACTCTGGGGCCAGTGCAGAGAACGTCAAGACAAGACAATTCAGCTCCACTGGAGCAGCGGGCGCAGCACGTGTGCGAGAAAAACCAAACAACCCCCGAAGCCCTAAACCCTAAACCCTAAACCCCAAACCCTAAACCCTAAACACTCCAAGCTCGGCGCAGAAGATGTGACAGCTGCCACTGGGATAGTACTTCGGAGCCTGGGGAGCACAGCGCTGCTTGAACAGTTGCCACAGGGGATGTGAGGCGGGCAGCAACTAGCACAGCATCCCTGTGACTGCCTGCGCCGGTCAGAGAAAATGATGATTCTGGCACATTCGATTTCGAACCCCCCTGTTCCACTTCGGTTGCATGAGGGCCTGTGTCCAAAACGACATCGCCACTCTGACGGCTGCGTCCTTGATCCTCAACCCGAAACCCCGTACACTGACCCCGAGCTCACGGATTGCCCAGGACACCGGGCACACTCGCTACAGGTGGCTCCCTGCCACCCGCGGTTGCAGCCTGTCGCTACGACTTCACAATTCCAAACGGCCGTACGCAATCACACTGCACATGTCATCAGCAGAGCGTTGCCTTCAAACCTCATGGCTCCTCGGACCCAAGTGATTCCGTCGAAACATCGCCCTTCAACTACGACCCTTCCACCCTACAACCCAACGAGCCCAGCGGTGGCTTAAACAAGCCGGCGTGCTGCAGGCTCCATTCGACGGGTCACCTCGGCCAAGGCATCAGGATTTCTGCTCAACCACACCCGAAACCCTAAACCCTAAACCCTAAATCCTAAACCCTAAACCCTAAACCCTTTGCCCTCCTGGGTCCGCCACAGAAGCTGGTCCCAGGCGAGGTGCAGGAGCACGTGTTCTCGCAATGGGGGCCCCAGAACCTCACCGCGCACCCATGGTCAAGGCGACGGCTCGGACTTGGGGTTTACGGTTTAGGGGTTTTGGGGATTAGGGTTTAGGGTTTAGGGGTTTCGGGATTGGGGTTTCGGGATTAGGGATTACTTGCGGTTTAGGGTTTATTTAGGGTTTAGGGTTTAGGGTCTCGGTTTTAAGGTTTCGGATTTAGGGTGCCCATGCTGCCACTGTCACAAAAGCTTTGGGGTTCGGGCTGCGGGCATGCAGAGCTGGGGTGCGGGGATGATTTGCTTCAGAGTGCCGAAGCCCCGGTCGTCTTGGGGTCCTAAACCCTAAACCCTAAACCCTAAACCCTAAACCCTGAACCCTGAACCCTGAACCCTAAACCCTAAACCCTGAACTCCCAGCCCCTGCCATAAGGATCCGGCCCCTGCTTGCAGGTGCAGAAGCCCTCGTGGCAAGACCTGACAGAAGCGAGCAAACACCCACTCGGCCCATCAGGCCACTTGCTGGTGTAAGGTATTTAGGGCCCTATATCCCCCCCTACCCTTTAAGGTAGAACTCGAGCTCAGGCAGCAGGACATCACCATTGACCTCATAGGCCGTCATCTCCCCATCTTCCCCTAGACCCTCAACCCCGAAACCCTAAACCCCCAAACCCTAAACCCCTAAACCCTAAACCCCTAAACCCTTAAACCCCTAAACCCGATGGACAGCAAGCTCAGCGGCTGGCATCGTGCTTTCCTCGAGGCAATCACTGCACGTCCGTTCCTCGATCAGGGAGGCTGGGCTGGGACCGATTAAAGAGCCCTACAACCCCCCTAAACCCTAAACCCTAAACCCTAAACCCCAAACCCGAAACCCTAAACCCGAACCTGGGCCCCCGGACGCAGTTGTCTCCGTAGAAGCTTGCGAGGCACTCGCACGCAAAGCCGTCGCCGTCGTCGTCTGAGCCACGCAGATCGGCTTCTGTGGATGTACGGTTTACGGTTTAAGGTCTGTGTTTTAGGGGCTCCTTTTGGTTTTCTAAACTCGCCCTGTGCCTTTTTCACCCGGCCACCCACCCCCCTGCCCCACCAAAAACCCCAAACCCGAAACCCTAAACCCTAAACCAAATTTCACGAGGGCTCTCTTTGCCCAATTCCGACGCTAGGGGCTTGAGTTCCCGGGAGTTGAGGGCCTTCACTTTACCCTCCCCCTCCCCCCCCTCCCCCCCAACCCCTTGGGCTTTTTTAGGGGGTATGCCCAAGGGGTATGTTGAATATTTCGTAGATAGTAAGTCTTAGTAGGGACTGGGAGTTTGGGATCCCAACAGACAGCCCTACATCGTGAATCCCTAATCCCTGAACCCGACACCCTAAACTTCCTAAGTCCCGAAATCCCCTGAACCGACCAAGCGGACAACTGACTCTAAAGCCCCACTGACCTCAATGTTTGAGTACCAAATCCTGCCCTCCCTGAAACTGCCCAAATGGCGCGTTCCAAAGCTCCAACTGCTCCTATGCTGTTAAGCCGTTCAGAGCTTTAAGCCGGGGTGCGATAAGGGCTTCAGAAATCTTGAGACTAAAATTCCGGAGACCCAACAATTAACAACCTTGTCTTGTTCTTGGTAGGAAATCAGCTACCATACACATATCCCCATGCATCGACGGGTTTTTAGGGTTTTGGGGTTCCAGCGTCTTTGGGTTTTAGGGATTTGGGTTTTAGGGTCTTTGGGTTTTGGGGTGTTAGGGTTGTAAGGGCCTGAGGGTTTCAGGGTTAGGGCTCAGGGCTTAACAGTTTGAGGTTTAGGGCTTCGCTTTTGGGGCACCGGTGTGGCTCAGAACTCGTCTGGGGCCTGCACCCTCGACGCAAATTCCCCTGGCACTGCAGTTCATGCACTCATCCAAGGCGGCCGAGATGTTAATGCCCGGCGTGTCCTGCAAGCACGCAGGGAGCAACTGATCACTTTCCAGGGTGTCGCCTAACCATAAACCCTAACTAAACCCTCAACCCTGAACTTTCAAACTCTGAACCCTAAACCCTAAACCCTAAACCCTAAACCCTAAACCCTAAACCGAATGGAAACTGGCGGTTGGAGCTGCTCCCACACCTTGCAATGTGCCTTTTCTCAGTCTGGGGTTCAGAGTTGAGGGTTTAGGAGTTCGGTTTAGGGTTCAGGGTTTAGGGTTCAGGGTTCAGGGTTCAGGGTTTAGGGTTTAGGGTTTAAGGTTTAGGGTTTAGGGTTTAGGGTCCAGGGTTTAGGGTTTATAGCGCAGGGCAAACCCTCAGCCCTCAACCATGTGGAGGGCATCGTCTGAGCCCGCGGCGCAATCGTCCCCATCCCATCGGGCATCACAGCGGCAAGCCCCATCCACACAGATGCCCCGGCCTCCAGATTTCGGCTTGGGTCTAGGGTTTAGGGTTTGGGGTTAAGCAGCTCCAGTCCGGGACGTCCCGAGTCGAGCGTTGGTGTCGACACAGATAAACCCCCATCCGCCCCACAAGATTAAAAAAATAGGAGGTGTACTATGTTCACCCCATCTTGCTTTCACATAAATATCTTCAATTATGTTCACCGTAGGCCGCGAACCCTCAACCCTTGTCCTGAGCCTAAACCCTGAACCCTATACCCTTAACCCTATGTCCTTGGAACCCTAACCTAGACCCGCGGCGAAGCCCTGATACCTGAAACTTGGGCCAGGAAGGGGCGTGCCTTTACAAACGGGGGTGTCCATACCCATGAAGCCCCGGTCGTGGTGCCTATGCCCACCACGAACTCTTGCACCTATGCCCACGAATGGGCGTGCCTGTGCCCACGAGCTTATGTGCCTTGCTGCCGGCTGTTGCTTAAGGTTTAAGGTTATATGTAAGACTGAGATAGGGTTTAGGGTTCGAAGTTTAGGAGGTTGAGGGGCCGGGGCTTAGGATCCCCTGCCCCTACATATTTCCCCAAAAGCCTTAGACTTACACCCTAAACCCCAAACCCCAAACCCCTAAACCCCAAACCCTAAGCCCTAAACCCCAAACCCTATACCAGGCCAGGGTCGGTGCCGCTGCAGGTGCAGTCGCAGCTGTCGCCAAAGTACCACAAGTCACACTGGCAGTCGCCACGCCTTTGCAAACCAACACAACGGGGTCTACAGTTGGGGGGGCGGGTGTAGGGTTTAGGGTTTAGGGTCTACAGTGGGGCGGGGGCGGGGTGTAGGGCTTAGAGCTTTTTCTTCATACTTTCGGGTTTGGGGCTTTGAGGTTCAGATTTCTTCGTTTAGGTTTATTGCGTTAGTCCCCAAATCCCAGAGGATAAACCCCTTGAAGCCACCAGAAGCACAATCAGTTGTTGCTCCAGCTGCGAGTCTATCAGTACCTGACATCAGCAGACGGCACTTCTAAACTCATGCCACGATCAGGGATCAGTTCCCTAAATCCTGAACCCTAAGCCCTAAACCCTGCACCCTAAGCCGCGGGGCGTGTCTGCTTTTATCTCAGCTCCAGACTCGGTGCAGTCCCCGAAGTTGGAGCAGGTTTCGTTGCGCGTGCAGTAGGTGTCACAGAGCCCTGGCATGAGCAAGGGTGAGGGGGCTTTGGGGTTTAGGGTTTAGGGTTTAGGGGTTAGGGTTTAGGGTTTAGGGTTTAGGGTTCAGGGTTCAGGGTTTAGGGTTTAGGGTCTAGGGTTCAGGGTTTAGGATTTAGGGTTTAGGGTCTAGGGTTCAGGGTTTAGGATTTAGGGTTTAGGGCTAGGGTTCAGGGATTGGATGTGGGGTCCACACCCTCAACCCTAACACCTAAACAGGGCTCTTGGGGTTCCAGGGCTCGAGGGCCTGAGGGTTGAGAAATAAACTTCATTTGGGCGTTTAGGGTTACTGGTTGCGATGCTCCCCCTTATACTAACAGTCCTTCATAGGGATTACAATAGGGTGTACTACAATCCCAACTAAGGGCTGTTGGTATAAGAGGGAAAATCCCAAGTTAAGGGCTTAGGGTTTACAAGTGCAACTGGAGCTTGCTTGCTGTTGCAAAGACAGCGAAGACGTGCTCAGGACGACCGTCTGGACGCGAACGATAGTAGCCTGCACATTGCGGAGTCCATGGCATGAAGTCTGGGGTTCAGGGTTTAGGGTTTAGTGTTTAGGGTTTAGGATTTAAGGTTTAGGTTTAAGGGAGGGCTTGAACCCTAAACGCTAACCCTACGATAGGGCTTAGGATCTGCATTTCCGACTTGCATCCTCTTTGGGCAAGCTAGAAGAAGGCGGAAGGGATTCGGAGTTGGGTTCAAGGTCTCTCTGGCTTCAACCCTAAACCCTAAAACCCCAAACCCGAAACCCTAAACCCCAACCCCGGGCTTTTTGCTCCATGCCGGGACACCGTCTACCAAGAGTCTGCTGGCCTGTACCAGGCCCGGCGCTCTGCAAAGCTATGGGACAACACGCGCATCCGTTCTGGGGCCGTGGCCTCCTCTGTACCCGAACCTCTGCTTAATCCCTAAACCCTAAACCCTAAACCCTAAACCCTAAACCCCAAACCCTGAACCCAGCATGCTTCCTGTTGAGCACGTAGAGGCCACAGACCGCTTGAAGAGTTTTCGGGGTTCGCAGCGGCTCGGGGCGCAAGGTTGGCGGGTTGAAGGGTTGAAGTTTTGAAGGATTGAAGGGTTGAAGGTTGAAGGGTGAAGGGTCTAGAGTTTAGGGTTTAGGGTTTAGGGTTTAGGGTTTGGGGTTTGGGGTTTGGGGTTTGGGGTTTGGGGTTTGGGGTTTGGGGTTTAGGGTTTAGGGGGGTGAAGGTTCAGGGGCGAAGATGGCCCGTGGCTTTAAGGACTGTAGGCCTCAGGTGCTGCTTGCCTTTTACCACCCGCGCGTGCGCGCCGCGCCGAACCCCGAATTCCAGGCTCAACGCATCGATCTTTGGCTGCAAGCCTCGACGGCCTCTCCGGCTCCTAAACATGTAAAGTTTTAAGCCCCTGAGCCCCGAGCCACGAAGCTGCTAAGCCCTAAACCCTGAACCCCTACACCCCTGAACCCCTCAGCCCCTGAGTCCGAAGCCCCTAAAACCCTAAACCCGAAACCCTAAACCCTGCACCCCTAGACCCCTAAACCCCTAAACCCCTAAACCCCTAAACCCCTAAACCCCTAAACCCCTAAACCCCTAAACCCTGAACCCTAAACCCCTAAGGCCCACTTAGAAATGCGCCCCCAGTGGCCTCCAAGGTGCTTGCAACAGAGATGCCTCTGGACATCATTAACATCAGCCCTGGCAGCCGTTCATTCGGATGTAGGGTTTAGGGTTTAGGGTTTAGGGTTTAGGGTTTGGGGTTTAGGGTTGCTGTAATTGGGCGTAGATGCTGTGAAGGTTAGGATGCAGCAGCGGCTCGAATGCTTCGGCAGGTGCGAAGAGCAGCTCTGGCCCGATTGTGGAGGGCCATCTAATATTTTTCTCCCACCCCACGCCGTCCGAGGCGGCAAAACCACCCAAACCTATTCCTTTTAAAATTATGACAATCGCTTACTTGCAAAAAAACCTTTCCGTCACCGATGGCCACTTTCAGCCAAGCGAAAGGTTTGAGGCCAGGTCCTAGGACAGTTTTCGCGACCTGTCGACTTTCGCCATCGAGGTCGAGGGAGGGGCTTAAGCGCCGCCCCCCCCCTCTGGGGTTTGGGGTTGGGGGTTGAAGGCTTCCAGGCTGGTTCTGCGAGCGCTGCAGCCGCTTGCTGCAGTGTCTTGGTTGGAGCTTGTGGGATTCAGTGTTCCGAGCGCTGCATTGTGGCCAAGCTCAGGGCAGGTACCCTCACAGCGCTCACGCGTGCTCCACTTCGTCCAGCATGCTTCGGAAGACTCCGCGTTCGTCGGCCTCGGGGTGGGACAAAAAGTTGTGCACAACTCTCTGTTTGTGCCTCTCTTTCTTCCGTACCTGCTCTTCCTTGTTTTTGAAGATCTCGACGCTGCTCTTGTGTGAGTTGGTGACATAACGAGCATGATTAGTGCCCATGCTGCTACTGCAAAGCTGCCTCCGCTGCTGGGGCTGCGTCAGCCGACACCAAGGATGGAGTTTTGGGTTTAGGGTCCTTCGCCCGTAAAGGGTTTAGGGTCCTTAGCCGTAAACCCTAAACTCTGAAATCGAACCGCTTAGAGATCTGAGAAGCACACGCCCCGGCTGGTGAGTGCAGCAGAGTGGCCCGCAGCACCTTTGGTGAGTCGAACTCTGCAATCTTGCCCTCAGCAAGGACCAGGATGCGCTCGCAGTCAATGATGGTCTGCAGACCTCACTCTACATCACGAACCCATGCCCCAAAAGCCGAAACCCTAGCCCCTAGAGCCTTTCCTAAAGCTTTTGGAAACGTCCTTGTCCTTTGGAGGGGTGTTCCCTTGTGCATTCAACAACGTACCAATTTGGGAACCGCCCTTCAGAACAATCCCCCCCACATGGACTCGGCTTGGCAGCCAGGGCTGAGGCCCTGTAGGGTTTAGGGCAGGGTTCGGGGGGCCTTTAGGGTTTGAGGGTTTAAGGCCACTTTAGGGTTTTAGGGTGTGGAGCCTGCGCTGCCCCAGCATGTGCCCATCCACTAGACATTCCGAGCATTCTCCTCATATGACCACTATATATGTAGAAGAAAAACTATGCAAATCTAGTTCAGCAGGCTTTCGACAACATGCCCTGAATGTTTGGAGTCGAGGCAACGGGCTAGCGCACCTCTGAACAAAGATGCGGTTCGCAGGATTCAGGTTTAGGATGTTTTGGGATGTAAGGTTTTTAGGGTTGCGCGTATGCCTGAACCCCATGTGCACCCTAAACCCGAGACTAGCTAGACCATCGATCCCCTATACCCTAAACCGTAGCCCCTACACCGCAAACCCTACATCCCACTTTCCTCGCATGACAACTTCTAGAGGCAGCCTTAAAGTACCAAGACTTGTGCTCAGCACCAAACCAGCCCAGGGAAAAACCACGTGTGGCAGAAAAACCCTGGGCCTCAAGAACGCCAGCCGGCTGCCTTAAAATTGAGGTAACCCAACCCAACCCCACTTTCCTTGCGAACCCCAGCGACGGTGCGCAATGGTGAGGGATGAGGCACCAGTAAAGCACCGGCGGATGGCTTTCCTAGGCTCCGGCTCTTCACCGTCAGCTTCTGCTGGTTTGGGGTTTCAGGGTTTAAGGGGTTTAAGGGTTTAAGGGAGTTTTAGTGTTTTTGTTTGGCTTTGGGGTCTTTGGGGGTCTAGGGCATAGGGTTTCTGCATCCGCCGGAGCTGTCTGGAGGGGCTACTTAAGTATATAGGGACTCTCAGAAGGTATATTTAAGGGGTCATAACGGGGAATAAGATTAAGGGTCCCTTCTAGGGATCCTCCTTGTACTCCCTTTGCTGAACTCCGGAAGGAATGATGGCCAGGACTCTGCAGCGCTTCGTCCGTGGAGGCGTCCACGGCCGCCTTGGCAAACCCCATCTGTCTCCATCCCCTACAGCCTTTAAACCCGAAACCCGAAACCCTAAACCCCACACCCTAACCTCTAAACCCTACACCCGAATCCTTGGAAAAAGGGAAGGACCTAGGCAACAGGCCCTGCTACTCAGCTCTTTGAAATTAGGACTTAGGGTCCAGATCTCCAAGGATGTAGGGGTTTAGGGGTTTAGGGGTTCAGGGGTTTTAGGGATTCGGAGCTTAGGGTTTTAGGGTTTAGGGTTTAAGGGTTTAGGGGTTTAGGGGTTGAGGGGTTGAGGGGTTGAGGGGTTGAGGGGTTGAGGGCTTCTCCCCCTGACTCGCACTTCGCAGCTGAGGGACCGTGGCTTCGTCGAGCACCACCAACTTCGAGCTCCGCAGCACGGCGCGTGCAATGGCCACCATCTGCCGCTGCCCGGCGGACAGGTTCTGGCCTCAGATGTGCGGCCGGGCTGCTGAGGCTTATGGGAGGTTGTAGAGGGAGTTAGGGAAGCCTGCTATCTGTATGAGGGGTTATGTAGGGTGTTTTTTGTATCCCTACACCTCGCTGTCCAGTCGGTAGGTTTAGGGTTTGGGCTTCGGGGGAATCTTGCAGTTCAGCAACTAGAACCAAGAGTAGCCTAGGAATGAATGAAGATGGTGCCCTTTTTGGTTTGAAGGCGCATCTAAGGAACCCATCTTCCTAGGCAAAGCGTTGTTTCCGGACAGGAAGGCCGAGGGGCTTAGGGGAACCGAGAGCATCCTCAGCTCTCGTAGGGTTTGGGGTTTAGGGTTTGGGGTTTAGGGTTTGGGGTTCAGGGTTGAGGGTTGAGGGTTGAGGGTTGAGGGCTGAGGGTTTGTGCGAGCATGCGGCCGTTCTCCTTGATTTCGAGCGAGAGCAGCTTCTGCAGTTGGGACGCCGGCGGATTGGTGCCTCTGTCCTTCCGCGAGCGACTCGTTGGCCACTGACTGAGGGTGTAACAGATGCAGTTCACAGAGCCCCTCCATACCCTAGACTTGGGCAGGTTTGGGAGCTATAGCTTTACAAGGATTATGTAGGGGATTCACGGTAATAGAAATTATAAATACTGTCAAACCTACCCCTGTGGAGCCTAAACCTCAAACGGCACATCCCCAGAATATCCCAGTCCTCGTAGTCAACGTCGTCCTCTTCTCTTGCTGGGTCAGCCTCCTGCGCTCACAGAAGGCAAAGGGTTTACGGTTCTCAAATGGGGGGGGGTCTTAGAGTTTAGGGTTCATAGGGTGGGTTTGCGCCTCATGGCATTTTGTGGGCTATGCGCTGTGCATCCTCGAGGATTACAAGTTCCTTGAGCACCAAATCCTGAACTCCTAAATCTAAATGCTGGGCCCTAAACCCTTTACCCTAGACCCTGATCCCTAAACCCCCAAAAGCTCCAAAGCCCTGCACTCCCTGAAATCCCCAAACCCCAACCCCAAACCCCAAACAATAAACCACAAACCCTAAACCCTAAACCCTAAAACCCTAAAACCCCTAACCCCTAAACCCTAAATCCTAAACCCTGAAACCTAAACCCTAAACCCTACTCCTCGCCACCGCGTCGTCGCACCCAGGAGGCCAGCTGGGCCTCGCGCAAAGCGTCCCAGATAGCCTCGGGAGGCTTTCGGGGTCTGTTGGGTTTAGGGCTTAGGGTTTGGGGTTTAGGGTTTAGGGTTTAGGGTTTAGGGTTTAGGGTTTAGGGTTTATGGCCAGGGATGGGTGAGACACCAAAGCGCCAAACAAGTTAAAGGGGTCGTGAGTTGGGGGCGGATGGGTTTAATGAGGGGAGCGGGAGGGTTTGGAAACTCCAGGTGTGGCGGGTTCTCAGCTCACAGGCTTTTAAGTAGCGGCGCAGGACACATTTGCTCACGCTACGAACATTCACCCCCCCTTAGCCTTCAACCCGAAAACCTGAACCCTCGCCTCTGCACTGTGCTGGTCGAAGGGATCGCAATTGTAGCGCAGGGTCTCCTTTCCATCTGGGTTTGGCTTGAATGGCTTGAATTCCTCCCACAGGCTGCCTGGCTTCTTCGCCCGGGTATGTGAGTGAGACTTCGCAAGCAGAATCTGTAGAAGGCCCCCAGGGACAGAACGCGCACGCATTTTCTCTTGGCAGGGAACCCTAAACCCTATGCCCTAAACCCTCAACCCTAAAGCCTACCCAAACCCTAACCCTAAACCCCAGCCCCAAACCCTAAACCCAAAACCCTAAACCCTAAACCCTAAACCCTAAACCCTAAGCCCGGTCCTGGAAGAGGACTGGCTCCTGCGGAATCATGGCCACGGCCCGGCGAAGATCCTGGAGGCCCATCTGCAGAACGTCCTGGCCAATCGGGGGTTCTCCAAAGTTTCGGGTTTAGGGTTTAGGGTTTAGAACTAGGGCTTAAAGTTTAGGGTTTAGGGTTTAGGGTTTAGGGTTTCGGGTTTAGGGTTTGGGGTTTAGGGTTTAATTAGGGTTTAGGGGTTTTAGGGTTTAGGGTTTAGGGTTTAGGGTTTAGGGTTTTGGGTTTTGGGTCCCAGGATACCCTGCGAAGGAACAACCAAAGGCACCCCCTTCCCCGTCAAGAACCGCCCGCGGCTCGAGTTCCAGAAGCTTCCGCCCGCGAAGGTCCTGACCATCAAGCTCGATGGAGGAGCCCGGCTCCTGCCAGGGATTCGCCGGTCGGCTGTAAAGACTCTGGATGCTTCCGGCTCAAGGTGAACAGGTCATGAAGAATGACGCGGGCTTCAGAAATCCACAAAGGGCTTTTATGAGGTCTTGGCTTCCCCTGCGTCCGTGCGCGTATATGCCACAAGTAGGTAGATTCAAGCAGCCGCCGGCACACGGTTTTTGGGGTGTGGGGTTTCGGCATGCACGATCCTTAGACTTTGAAGTTTAGGAAGTCTCGACAAAATATGCAAGCGCGTGAGCAATCTCCGTAAATTTGGGGGGCATGACCGTGATTCTAGTGCATGTGGGGATATGAAACGAAAAAACTCTGATTATTGGAAACTCCACTTTAAGGCCCCTAAGCCCCGAAACCCTGAACCCTAAACCCCTAAACCCCCCAAAACCAAAACCCCTAAACCCTAAACTCAACCCTAAACTCAACCCTAAACCCTAAACTCAGCCCGAAACCCAAAACCTAAACCCTACGCCCCAAGCGCCCTTTAAGCTCCGGCTCGGCGATGCGAAGGAGGGCCAGCAGCAGGGATGACTTGCCGGCGCCTGTCCGGCCGACCACGCCTTGGCCCGGACAGCGAGGGTTTAGGGTTTAGGGTAGGGCTTAGGGCTTAAGGCTTGGGGCTTAGGGGGGCTTTAGCGTTTGGGATTTAGGGTTTCGGCTTTTGGATTCTTGGTTTAGGGTTAAGGGTTCAGGGCTACAGGGCCGAGGTGCCCACACGCTCGCCCTCCTTCATAGTGAAAGTGAGGCCCTTCAGCACCAGCGGAAGGTGCGGCTTGTAGCCTCGGGTGCACGCACTGGTTGTTAGTAGGGCATTAGGAAATTGAAGTCCCTACATGGTACCTGAGAAAAGGTAATACAAGGGGAGATAGGCTAAGCACCTAAGTAAAATACTAACAACCAGCAGGTTGTCGGGAGGATTGCGGCTATAAGGGCAGTTTCGAATGCCAAGGGGCGCAATTGCAGGTCCTTCACCTGCAAAAAGATGGGGGGAGCGGCTGCAAGCTTCTCCAGATTTCACTTGTACCCCGTCCAACAGGCCCGCGTGCTGTGGCTCGTGAAACGCAGCCTGAAGCCCCCTGCAAGAGCCCGAAACCCCTGAACTGGGGGCGTAGGAGGGCCATTTTTCCGAAGTAAGATTTAGGGTTGACGGTTGGCAGAGCAGGCGTTTTCAGTTTTCGGGTTTAGGTTTTAGGGGTTTAGGGTTTAGGAAGAGAAAGGGATGGCGCCTGTAGCACTCCCCTGTTTGGCCACCCCGGAGGAGGGCGAAGCTCCGTGACGGCAGGCGCTTCGCTGGGGAGCTCCTTGAGGGTTTAGGGCTTAGGGTTTCGGGTTTAGGGTTTAGGGAGGGTTTACGGTCAGAGGTTTCGTGTTGTGGGGATAGTCATAATCGCAATCATCATGACGGATCAGAAAGTCCTCTTCTTTTCAGGCTTCCGCGCTCTGCTTGGAAAGGTCTCTTCGTCTCTTCGTGTCTCAGGTAGGAGGGTTCCAAGGAGTTGCCTTCGGTAGGTTCTGGGTCTGGGGTCTAGAGCGGCGCTGTTTGTCTGTGGCACGCACTTCCATTTCTCCACTGGTCTCTTTCAGGCTCACAGGACATGCTCAGGCTTTGGATCGCAGTCACCCCATCTAGTGGCGACTGTCGTTGTCTTTCGCGAAGGGTCTGCAGAAAGCTTACGGCGTAGGGTTTTAGGCTTGTCTCTGCAGGATTTAATGGTTGTCTCTGCAGTGGTTCGATGCTGCGCGGCTGGCTGTTCTTCAGGGTGGCCATCCGAAACCCACACCCCAAACCCACAAGCCCACACCCTAGGCCCCTGAGCCAAGCAAGGGCTCCTCCGCATAGTGGCGGACTCGCTCCACGCAGTTGAATGCCATGCCTGGACGGCAAGCAGAAACACAAGGGGGCCCTGAACCCCAAACATAACCTTCGACCTTGCCCTGAACCTGCTGAAGCCCAAGAACCCATTCGAGAACCATTTAGGGTTTCGGGTTTAGGGTTTAGGGCTTAGGGCTTAGGGCTTAGGGCTTAGGGCTTAGGGCTTAGGGCTTAGGGCTTAGGGATTCCGGTTTAGGGTTTAGGGCTTAGGGTTTAGGGCTTGATCCTACAGCTTTCGAGGCCACTTGACCCAGGTCCGGCTAAGATCTGGGCTGAACTCCGCCACTTGTCCGATGAGCTGCTCAATGCTGCCAGTGCACCTGCATCCAATGTAGGGGCCTAAATAATCAGCTCGGGTCTAGGGTTAAATTTCGGATTTAGGGTTTAGGGATTAGGGATTAGGGTTAAGGGTTTAGGGGTCAGGTTTGGGGATCATGTAGGGGCCTGAATAATTAGAACAGGGTTTTGGGGGGCTAGTATAGTTAGTATATGATAAAGGGACCATAATGGAATACTAATAGTAATTATTCCGACCCCTTTTAAGGCTTTGGCTTGGGTGCACGTTCGGGGCTTCAGGGCTTCAGAGTTAACGATTCAGGGTACAGGGCTTCGGGCTGTGGGGGTTTAGGTTGTTGGATGAAGGGCTGTGTACGGGGCAGACCTGAACCTACAAGGGCCCTTAGGATGGGGCCCATGATTGGGGAGCCCTCATATTCAATTCCCTCTTAAGAAGGCAAGGGGCCCTACTAAGGGACCATGCACCTGCCCTTAGATCAACCCGGGCTTTGGCTAAGCCCCTAAGCCCTCTCAACCCTCCAGCCAGGCTGCTCCCCTGCGAAGTTGAGGACGAGTGCCGCCTTGCTGGGCGAAACGAGCCTGGGGCTGTCTTTGTGAGGACGTTCCTTGTTTAGCAGGCGTATAGGGTTTAGGGTTGAGGGTTTAGGGTTGTAGGTTTCATTAAAGGGTTACAAGATCATACAGTAAGGGCTGGAGGGGCAAGCAAGCTTGAGAGACGACCCATGCTAGCGACTGGCACGAGCATCGATGCAAGTCCAGCAGCCCCTCGCGGCCGAGCGTGATGAACACAGACCTTTGCAACCACGTGCTGGGCTGAGAAATCGAGGGAAGCGTTCGGAGGGTCGAGTGGAGGACTGCGGGGGAATAATTAGAGGCTCTTTTTGTCTGGGGGGGGGATGACATCTGCTGTTTTGTAGCTACCGTTGGGTACTCTCTACCGCGGGTGGGGTTTAGGGTTATGGTTTAAGGGTCTAAGGTTTAGGGTTTAAGGGTTCGGGCGTAGAAGGGTCACAGAGTTCTAGGCTTCTGGCACCAGCAGGGTGAGGATGGAGCCCAGCAGTTCGATCCGCAAGGAGAACCATTGCGACAGGAACATCTGCGTGTAATCCTTGGGCTTTGCACCCCGGATGTTTCATCCCTATCCCGCCTTCTAGGGTTAAAGTCTCGGCCGTTTAGCCCTTCTGATATTTGGGGTGTGCAGCTCATCCTAGCCGTCCTAACCCTAAAAGCCCTGAACCATAAACCCGTGCTTGGTTTAGGGGACCGGCATCCGCAACGACACCCAAAGAATAGGAAGCAGTGGCACTGGCGCACTCCGGGCGGCTTACATGCATAACCCACGGCCCGTACGTTCAGGCTTCAGGGTTCAGGTGTAGGCTTCAGAGCCTTAAAACCCTCGAGGATGCCGAAGACCTAAAACCTGCAGCTCTGTACCTCGCAGAGCCCAAGAACCCCGAAGCCCGAAGCCCTAAGCTCTGAACCTGACAAACTGAAGCCTAAACACCTGAATCCCAGAGCCTCAGAAACCCTGAACCTCTAACCAGGAAGACTGCAGCCCAAAACTAAAGCCTCAAAACCCTAACCTCAAACCAGGAAGCCTGAAGCGTGAACCGAAGCCTCAAAACCCTAAACCTCAAACAAGGAAACCCGAAACTCCAGAAGTCCCAACAGGTCCACGCCCAAGAGCGGGTCGCTGTTGGTCCACGATGAAGCCGTCGCTCATTCGGCCTGCAAGAATCCCACATCCGGGATTGTTTAAAGGGCTCAAGGTTTCACGGGGAAAGGGTTGTAGGGCTTCACGCTCAATGATGCTTCAGCCATGCCACATTACCTACCCTGCGCCCCTCAGACCTTCCCTGAACTCCGGAACATACCCTAAACCCTAAACCCTGAACCCAAACCCTTAACCCTAAACTCAACCCTAAACCCTAAACCCCTAAATCCCAAATCCTGGACCGCGAAGCCGAAGACTCTTTGCAGCCATGGCGCACTGCTGCTCCGCCTGCCGAAAAGCTCTGACCACACTGATGGCATTCTCCCGGCAGAGGTTGTTGAAATGGTCGTACACCTTTTAGGGTTTAGGGTTTAGAGTTTAGGGTTAGGGTCCCCGAACCCTAAATTTCTCTGAGCCCGAACACGAAAACCTTAAAACCACAGAATGCTTTGTCGGCCGAAGTTGAGGCACCCGTTGTGTTCACTGCTGACCTTCGTTCGAAATGTCATTCTAGGTTTAGGGTTTAGGGTTTAGGGTTTAGGGTTTAGGGTTTAGGGTTTAGGGTTTAGGGTTTAGGGTTTAGGGTTTAGGGTTTAGGGTTTAGGGTTTAGGGTTTAGGTTTAGGGGTTTAGGGTTTAGGGTTTAGGGTTTAGGGTTTAGGGTTTAGGGTTTAGGGTTTAGGGTTTAGGGTTTAGGGTTTAGGGTTTAGGGTTTAGGGTTTAGGGTTTAGGGTTTAGGGTTTAGGGTCGAGGTTAGTGACGAGGTTAGTAGGGCTGTAGGAGGATTGTCGCTTCATTTTGGAAGGAAGTCCCTGCCGAAAGTCTCCCCAAACATCCGGCGCCCTAATCCCCGGCAAGTCACATGGCTGCCCTGGACTTTTGAAATGCGCTTCACGTCGAGGACGGCCTTGTTGTAGTACCTCCACAAGGGTTTAAGGCCCAGGCTCGGTTTAGAGTTCCAAGGTTCAGAGTTCAGGGTTTAGGGTTTAGGGTTCTAGGGCTGATTCAGGGTTAGCGTACTTGAGGCCGGCCCAGCGCCTTCACATCCACAAACCTGAGCCCGTGACAGGCAGTAAAGGCACCCTCTTCCTTGGACCCTGAACCTAAACCCTAAACCGCCCTAAACCCTAAACCCTGAACCTGAAACCCTGAACCCTGAACCCCAAACCCTAATCCTTGAACCCTGCAACCTTCGAATTCCTGCTGCAACCAGGTGCTTCCACAGCTTGTAGTAGAAGAAGAAAGCCGGCAGGAAGGCGATCACGGAGTAGTAGGCAATACCCCCAACCTCAGGTCCGAGACTCAAGAGGAACCAAGGATAAAAAAAATGGTGGTGCCCTTTTTTTGGCTTAAAGGGACTTATCAAAAGGGAACCTAAACCCCCCAAAAAGGGATCAAGGGCCTACTCTGGGTCCTAGAGCCTGCTGGATTGAGCGGCTCTGGGTCCGTGATTCGGAGAGTGGCGTTTAGGGCCAGGGGGCTTTGGGCCATCACATGGGGAACGTTTTTAGGTTGATGCCGAATTAAGGGGGAACTTGTAAAGCGCAAACCCGCGATAAAGTACACAAATAAAAGACTCTTCCAGATAATGAAATGGGCTCCAGCTTAAACAACCCCCTTTTGGGAACAGCTTCTCCATGCTGAGGTCTTTGAGAAGCGTGGTGCAGAATCTCGCCCATCTCGGCCACAGCACGGATCCGTGCCGTCGCGCGCCCAACTCCATGAACAGCTTCTGCCCAAAAATCGTGAACTGCTGCGTTGTCTTTCAACTTGCCGAAGATATTCCGTGAAGGAGCATAGTCTTGTCGATGCCAACCCCACTAGCCCCAAACTCCGTGTAAGTCTTTGCTGCCTCTGCACATCTCACAACGGCACACAGCTTGCATCGCTGCACTGGACTGCTGGCGCAGAGCCCGTGTGGCTGCTGCGAACCCTAAACCTTGAACCCTAGCCTAAACCCTGAACTAAACCTTAAGCCCTAAACCCTAAACCTTAAACCTTAAGCCCTAAACCCTAAACCTTAAACCCTGGACCCTGAACCCTGAACCCTAAACCCTGAGCCCCCGCCCTTTGGCCCAGCCCACCTCAAGTTTAAGCCACTATCAACCTGAAACTCCAAGGGGCAGTTACATGGTCCCTTTAGTATGGACCCTTAAAAGGGGTACCCATTACATACCCTTTGTTTCTACCCTGTACAATGCTTAGGGTTCAGGGCCAAGGGCCCATACTTCAGAACCGCTTCAAGAAGGTAAGCGACCATATAAAGGGACCGTGAAGGGCCACCCTTTAAGAAAAGCTGCCTAAGCTCGACACTCGCATCCCGAAAGTCCTCAAGATCCTCTCGGATTCGGTGGTTTGGGGCGTTAAATGCGGCGAGGCCGCCATGGCAAAGTTGCCAAGGACGCCGAGGACTGGGACGAAGGTGTTGATCACGGTCCAAACCACATCCTGCAGTGACTCTGGGCCCTGCCACCCTGCAATTTTTTTTTTTTGGGGGGGGGGGGGGGGGGGGGGGGGGGGGGGCAGGGTTTCGGCTTTAGGGTTTGGAGTTCGGCGTCCACTGCCCTCCCATCATGACCGTCCTTGTCAATCTCAGACATGTCCTTGGAGAAGCGGTTGATGATCCGCCCCTGCGGCCAACTAACCGCAACTAACCCTAAAGCCTAATCCCGAAATCCTAAGCCCTAAACCCTGTGGGAGGGTCATCCCCACATTCCTAACCGCTGAAGCCCTTAAGCCAAAAAAAAACACCCCAGCCCCAAAGCGCTACGATCCTAAAACCCCTAAGCTCTAGATCCTAAACCTTAAACGCCTCAAACACTTAAGATCCTAAGCTCCTAAACCCCTAAGATCTCCTGGATCCTAAGCCCCGAAGCTTCCTCAGACCCTGCCCCTTTTAGAGTTTAGGGTTTAGGTTTAGGGTTTAGGGCTTAGGGTTTAGGGTTTAGGGGTTATATAAAAGCCAAGGGCCCAGACTTCGGAACCCTTTAGAGAAGGGAAGGGACCCTACTAAGGGACCATGCATGTCACTGCCCTTAGACCTCAAGATCCGATACCCGAAGCCCTAAACCCTAAACCCTGAACCCTAAACCCTAAACCCTAAACCCCCAAGATCCTAAACCCCTAACCTGGCCTGGGGAGTGTCCTGGAAGAAGGACATCGGCGCGCGCAGCACCGAAGTCCACATGGCCAGGTGCAGCCGCCTTCGTGCAGGCTTTTGGGTTTAGGGTTTAGGGCTTAGGGTTAAGGGTTAGGGTTTATGGTTTCGGGTTGACGGCTCAGATGGATCTGCAAGGATCTTCGATTCTTAGAGGGTTAGGGTCTTAGGGGAATAGCGTCTGAGAGCCCCTAAACCCTAAACCCGAAACCCTAAACCCGAAACCCTAAACCCTGAACCCTAAACCCTAAACCCTAAACCCGAAACCCTAACTTGAGGTGTGTCCGAAGTTTGGATGTGGAGAGCCTGGCGGCCATGAAGCCGTAGACGTTGCCCGCCAAGTCGCCTGAGAAGATCACGGGTCGACGTGCCGGCTCCAGGGCTCGTGGCTTGGGGTTTAGGGTTTAGGGTTTAGGGTTGAGGGTTTAGGGTTTAGGGTTTAGGGTTGAGGATTAGGGTTTAGGGTTTAGGGTTGAGGATTAGGGTTTAGGGTTTCGGGTCTAGGGGTTAGGGTTTAGGGTTGAGGGTTTAGGGTTTAGGGTTTCGGGTCTAGGGGTTAGGGCTTAGGGTTTAGGGTTTTAATCTCTACGCCCTAAACCCTGTATATGGTGCAGGGCTGAGTACATCTAGCGGGCTTGGTTCAGGTTTCGGACATTGGGCTTTTGAGGGTTCACGGGGCTTGGCATGAGTAGGGCATTGAAGATGTCGAAAGGGCCCTAGATTGGATCCTTGATTGTCTTTATGGGCCCTTAAAGGGAGGCCCCCTTTTCTACCCCCCCTATATACCCCTTATCTACCCTGTAACACCCAAGGGCCCGTACTTCAGAACCCTTTGAAGAAGGAAGGGGCCATACCAAGGGACCGTGTACCCCAGAAACTGCAAAGCGTGCACCCTGCAGCACGAAACGAATGCTGCGGAAAATGCAGGTCCATACATTGTAGCAGCACTCAGCTTGATAGCAGTCAGTTGATGGATCATGGGCTCTGTCAGAGCTATGCAAACCAGAAGCTACCCATGCGGGACCTTGTCCGAATCGCGTGCGTCCGCTCGCCAAGATTGCAGCTGACGTAGATACCCAAGGCTTGAAAATATCCCTAGGCCCCTAAGCCTGAAACCCTAAACCCTAAACCCGAAACCCTAAACCCTAAACCCTTCGCAATCAGGGTGCGGAGGGTGGCCAGAACAATGACCTCAGCAAACCACACGGAAACAGGGGGCACTGTGGCAGGGGCTCCGAAGGTTTCGGGTTTAGGGTTTAGGGTTCAGGGTTTAGGGTTTCGGGTTTCGAGGGTTTAGGGTTGAGGGTTTAGAGGGTTTAGGGTTAAGCCAAAATCTGGCACAACTTTATGAAATCCTTGCCGAAGGATGCAACTAGGCAGGGCAGTTTGAACCCCGAGATGTGTCTTAAACCCTAGACCCTAAACCCCAAACCCTAAACCCTAAACCCCAAATCTGGCACCAAGCCCTTTGCACTTCAACTTCTTGATGGCCCGCGGGGCTCAAAGGTTTTGTTTGGGGTTTGGAGTTCAGGGTCTAGGGTTTAAGTTTTTGGGGTTTGGGGGTTTAGGATTTAGGTCTTACGGTTTAGGGCTTGGGGTTTCGAGTCTGGGCCACCCTAAACCCTAAACCGTAAACCCTAAACCCTAAACGTTAAACCCTCAACCCTAAACCCTAACCTATACAGGACAGAACCCACAACAAGCAACTTAAAGATCAACTAGGTTGGCCCTTAAACCCTTGAAAAATATGTACATAATATAGGGTCCCTTATCAACCCAAATAAAGAAAAATAGAATAAGGGACCCCGAAAATAACTGTAGGACTCCCCTGTAGTAAGGACCACCATAAGGTACCCCGAATTTCGGAAACCCCCATATCCCAAAAGCCAACCTAGTCAAGCAGCCAGAACACTGAGGATCACGTAGATGGAGAGATAGTACATCCTAAGCTCTGGGTGTTCGGGTTTAAGGCCTGAGGCCCTCAGTGCGGCTTCGGGTTTCGGGTTTAGGGTTTCGGGTTTAGGGTTTCGGGTTTCGGGTTTAGGGTGCGAAGAGCCCTAGAATTTGAACCCTCCTGAACCTAAACCTTCGATCCAGAGCCACAGAAACGAGCCCCACCCGCCCCCCCGCCTCAACAAAAACGAATCTGTTGCCCCAAGCGTTTTTGCAGCTTAAATATACAATAACGGGCCCTCCGGAATGTTTTAACTGAGGGGGTTGGGGGGGGTCCAACAACTCACCAGAAATCAGAGCTTGCACATATATACAGCTCGTACGCTGTCTAAGCAAACAATGTAGCTGGGATTTTCAGGACTGCGGAAGCCCAGGAAGGTATAAATGGGGGGGGGGGGGGGGGGGGTGGGGGGGGGGGGGGGGGCGGGTGGGGGGTGCCCCCAAGCCCCGGCTTGGTACACGATTCACGGCCCCATGTCTAGAGGTTCAGCTCGTACACTGTCAAAAAAAGCTTTCTCTCTCTTACTTCTCTCTTCGGAATTCTAATCCAGGCCCTGCAAGGCGAGACAGCCAGCCTGTATCGCCACCCACCCAATCATGTATTTTAACCCCCCCCCATCCGAAACAATTCTGCGCTCTTACACCTGGGAAATGTATACTTACTACGAGTAAGGCCCTACTTAAATAGACATTGTTGAGCGTGGGTCATTTTATTCGAAGCTCCTAAGCATGTTGAACGTTGCAGGGTCTCGCGCTGCAGGGATGTTGGTCAGGGAGCACAGGAGACCCAGACAAGGAACACAAAGGGATCCCGTGCCCGAAAAGCCTCAACCAAAGCCTCAACTAAAACCTCAAACCCTAAACCCCAAACCCTAAACCCCGAACCCCAAACGCCAAGCCCTAAACCCCAAACCGCTCAACCCTAAACCCTGAGCCCCAGCGGCGTTAGGTCCAGGGAGACCTCGCTAGCCCCCGTCGACGCTGCCGTCCACACCGCCAGCCACACGGGCAGGCAGAGCGTGACAGCCTCGGAACCTGCAAGGCTTAGAGGGCTTTAGGGGTTTCGGGGTTTAGGGTTTAGGGTTTAGGGTTTAGGGTTTGGGGGTTGGGGGTTGGGGATTGGGGGTTTGAGGGTTTAGGGTTTAGGGTTTAGGGTTTGGGGGTTGGGGGTTGGGGGTTGGGGGTTTGTAGGGTTTAGGGTTTGGGGTTTGGGGTTTAGGGGTCTGGATCATGCAGGGGCCCTGGCTTGGGGGTTTGGGTTTGGGACGTGTTGAAAACTCAGCACTCTGCAGGTCTCCGATTTCTACCCCTAAACCCTAAACCCTAAACCCTAAACCCTAGACCCTAAACCCCTAAACCCCTAAACCCCTAAACCCCTAAACCCCTAAACCCCTAAACCCCTGAACCCCAAACAGCCAAGAGCCCCCCAAAAATGAATCGAATGAGCTTGTGTCCCCCGAAGCCCTTCCGATGCCTATGTACAACGAAGAGAGCAAGGACACGCGGCAGCAGCCACCCATCGCCCGGAGGTAGTACACGAAGACCTGAATCACCGAAACATCTTCGGGTCTACGCTGGTTCGGCGTTAAACCCGAAACCCGAAACCCCAAACCCCAAACCCAAAAACTTAAACTACTCCAACCCTAAACCCCAAACCCTAGACCCCAAACCCAAGAAAGCCTGCCGCAGGGGGTCTGGGACCTGAGCAAGCCACCCCTCAGAGCACCCCCAGCCTCCTTCTTGATCTGGCCGGTGGCCCTCTCCTCCTCCTCCACACCTTCAGCTTCCTCGTCGTCCTCCTCCTCCTTCGCAGCACAGGAGGGCAAGCTGCGACGCCTCCCAAGAAAAGCCTGCAGACTTTAGTTTGGGTTGAGAAGTACAGCCAGTTAGTTACATTGGCTGAACCTGGAAACCCAGCCTAGCCTTCTGCCCAAAACCCTGAGCGTTTTGAAACCCTTTCTGGCTTAGAGGGGTCTTCTCACCACTTTCCTCGAACCCCCTCCCCCCCCCGCCCCCTCCCAAGGTCAGCTTCAATGGCCTCCTCATGGTGGCCATCAGGAGCAGAGCCACCCGAGCTGGCACTCAAAGCACGGGAGAAGGTCGGCGGAGACCTAAGGTCGCGCCCACAAGATAAAGATGGGCGTCCAAATAACTAACCCTGAGCCCACAAAAAGTGTTGCTTTGGGGTGGGCGGCCCTGAGATTTCCGGTCACATTCTCATTGTCATGGTTATCAGCATTACCATGGTTGACATTCCTATCATTGCTGTCAATAACATCGTTCGTAGTGCATCATGCTTATCATGACTGCCATTCTGATCATTCTCATCATCCTTGTACGTCTTAGCTTCACTGTCATTGCTATCGGTTCTATCGTTACTGTCATTGTTATCCTTACCATCAGTACTATGGTTTTTATGATGGTTATCAACCCTGGTTCTCCTTATTGTCAGTGTTATCAGTATTCTCATTACAACCATTGAAAACAATGTTGTCACTATGGTCAATGTTCTCATTTTCTCACTATTCTCATTCTCTCAGTGCTCATGTTTGCCATTATTGTCCGTTCTTCTCATTTTTCTCATTCTGACCGTGAGTGATCGCTATTCTCAGTAGTCTCATAAATCTCTTTGTTCTCAGAATTCTCAGTACTGTATTCTCCATTTTCTCATTCTTCTCATTCTTCTCATTCTTGCCATGGCGATCATACTTGCCGTGGCTATGATTGTCGTTCGGGTGGTTTGCGGGTTTAGGGATTAAGGTTCAGGATTTACAGTATCGGCTTAGGATGTAAGGTTTCAGGGCTAATTAGGGTGTAGGAACTAGGGCTTGGGGCATAGGGGTTAGGATTTAGGGTTTCGAGTCCCAGGTGAGAATCTTCCTGCAGTGCGGTGCACGAGCACGGCAGCTCCGCCTGCGCCTGCGCGCGCTCCGCCAGGCCCTGGGACTTGAGCAGCGCCTCCCGTCCGGCGCGCTGACGTTTGATTCGGGTGTAGGGCTTTAGGGTATAGGGTATAGGGTTGGGGGAGTTTGGTGTTTAGAGTTCCTATACCTACGCATGTATAATGCAATATATACATATACATCTGCACGTATGTATGTAGTATCATATATATATATATATTATATATATATACCATATACATATATGTATGCATGCAAGCAAAACAGCAATACAACAACAGCAATGGTAAGAACAAGATCAACAACGACGATGGCGACGACAGCGACCGACCGACGACGACAACGAGGAATACGGCGACGATGAGGATGAACAGCCTGCAACCACTGGCCGCTGAGCTCAATATCATCGCCAGAAGACAGCATGGCGACGACAAGCAGCCATGACTCTCCTGTAGAGGGCCTTCCCTGCAACGCAGCAGGCGCCGGACTGCCGACATTGAGGCGCCAGCAGTCGACCGTTGCCACCCCAGCAGACGCACTTAGCCCAACTGCTCCGCTGTCATGCGCTTCGGCCCTGAAATGCTTTGGCCTACAGGGTGGCATGTGGTCACGCCCAACATCTACGTTGCCCCACGCCCGGCCAACGGTGTGACAGGATGCTGGATGTGTTGAGTGCAGCGGGGGCCTGGCAGCAACCTCTTGGGTAAGGCAATGGCAACAAGAGAAGCGAAGCACTTGATCGCACGATCAACCTATCATCGCAAGACACACGCATGATCCACTCCACGATCAAAGGCGTGGCATTATGTTGGGCAGTTTCCGCTACAACTTGTACTACCGGCAATGTGGATGTATGCGGTATGGGGTCAGGGTTGAAGCAAAAAGGCATACATCAAGGCTGCGAAACTAGCGACGCACCTTCCGCGCTAAGAGCCTCGCCCACATGCGCAATGCAGCTGCGTGGCTCACCGCTTGGTTCGCAGCTTAGGCTATAGGTTCAGGCAAATAAGCGTTTCAGAGAATACGGCATGTTGCAGGGGTTTATGAGCTTCAGGGTTCCGAGGTTTAGGGGTCTAGCGGCTTACGGAGTTTCCAGGGCCTGGAGCACGGTGCTGCTCTGGACCACCTCCTGATAGCGCCCTGCAGCCTCGATCTGGCCATTGGACATGACCACCACCTGATCCTCGGCCCGCAGCTGTTCAGGGCTTAGGGCTTGGGGCTTGGGGCTTTGGGCTTAGGGCTTGGGGCTTGGGGCTTTAGGGCTTTAGGGCTTAGGGTTAGGGTTTAGGGTTTAGGGATTAGGGTTTATATAGGGTTTAGGGTTTTTTCAGGACGCAGCCGATACTTTGAGAGGGATTCGGCGGTAGCGTGTGAGGCTAAGGGGTGTTAAGCTTTGGGATGCGAAAATTTCGTGGGGTTGAGGGGTGTAGGGGACTTGTGCGAACCCTAAACCCGAAATCCTAAACCCCAGACCCTAAACCCAAAATCCGAAACCCAACAACCTAGGGTTCTAAAAACTTGGGAGGGCCTTGGGGGCCTCGGGGGTTTAGAAGGCTGGGGGGTTAGAGGGCTGAGGCCTTCCGAAGCTCATCCTGCAAGCAGGAATTCAGGCGGGGGGGGGGGAGGTTGAGGGAGCTCCCAATTTCGGATGTAAAGCTTAGGGCTTTTTTGTTGGGGAGTAAAGGTCTAGGGTTTAGGGCTGAGGGTTTAGGGTTTAGGGCTTGGGGTTTAGGGTCCAGGGCTTGGGGCTCAAGGTCTAGGAGTCTAGGGTTGAGAACCCAATTCCATCACCAACGAGAGAGTGATGTCCTTACCTTTCGCTGCTGTAGCCCAACGCGCGGAAGCCATTGGACTGGCACCACCCCCTCAAGCAATCCCAAAACGAGCCTCAATGTATCCGGCGTTGAGGCTCCAATCCCGAAACTCAAAACCCTAGAGCCTTAAACCCCAAACCTTGCACAGACCCTAAACCCCAAAACCCTAAAAACCCGAAACCCGAGCTTCAAACTATCAGCCAGAGATAGCCAGGGTGCGCACGAGCTCAAGAATTCTAGCCTCCAGGCGCGCTTTAGCTCATCATTGGAGGGTTTAGGGTTTGGCCCTTTGGGGATTTGAGGTCCGGTACGCATGAGTTAAAGAATATTGCCTTACCCCTGTATGGTCAGTTCTCTAAGATGTGGTCCCTTTTGGATACCTCAAAAATTGGGGGGGGGGGTGGCCTAATAATCATAACCCACAAGTGACCATAATTTAGATATGTGACCATATAAGGACCCAATCCCACGTGACATCCTCTGCTGACTTCGAGAAGAAGCTACCGGTCGCGTTCCCCGGTCGTACTGCGAACAGCAAGTCATCCGGATGCCACCAAAACAGGCCGAGTCGAAGATGGGAGGTTTCGGGTTTAGGGGTTGGGGGTTAGGGTTTAGGGTTCAGGGTTTAGGGTGTGTCAGGGGAGGGCGCACGCTCGGGTGTGAAACACCCCGGGCGGTGCGCTCGCGTTGCCTGTCAACTTAGCCACCCAAACTACACTCCTTTCAGGGTTTATAGGGCTCATTGAATTCATGTTCTTATGCACCGAAAGCCCGCAGTGTTGTGCAGCGAAGCCCCTGGCAGTGAACCGACATGCCCTAAACAGCGCAAAACCGTCAACCCTCAATCACATCCCGCGACCCTCCTTTGTTTAGAGGCTCAGCTGTAGCTCGAACTCTGCCAGAACGCGCAAAAAGAAGGGCCCAAGCGTAACTTAATAGGGGGATTTCGGGGTATCTTGCCTGTTCATTGCCACCACGCGCGTCTTCCGAGCCAGCAGGCCTGCTCGGACCCGTAGATGCAGGCTGCTACTCTGCTGTGCAGGATTTTCCGAACTCTGCACCGGGTTTCGTTTAGGGCCCCCTTCCGGTTTTAGGGCTTAGGGCTTCATTAGGGTTCTGGACTTGTTTGCCTCGTACAGTGCGGTGCGCTGTCTCGGTGGCATCCTCGCACCCTGAACCCTAGGCCCTAAACCCCCTCAACCAGACGCCCGTACCCCCAACGGAGGTGTTGGGGTTTAGGGGTTGTGCTTTCGGGCTTAGGGTTTAGCTTTAAGCTTCAACCCAAAACCCTAAACCCTAAACCCTAAACCCTATAAAACAATCCCCGAGCCTGTGACGAGAGCCTCGTGGCATCGCCATGCAACGCGCGAGTCCAGTGCACTGTAGGGATCATCCAGGAGGTAGATGTTGCTGTCCCTCATCCTGCAGGGTTTAGGGCTTAGGGTTTAGGTTTTAGGGTTTAGGGTTTCGGGATTATGGGGTTCAGGGTTCATAGTTCAGGGTTTAGGGTTAGGGTGCACCTTGGGGGCTTTAGGGGTTCCGTGGGGCTTTGGGGGTTGTGTGGGTTTGGGGTGCAAGGCATTCCCGGAGGGCAATGCCATGCGAGGCGTGAAGCAAATCGACTTTGGCAAATGCAAGACGATGCTAAACCCTGAACCCTGGAGCCGATCAGTCGCAACCCGCAACAGCTAGTCTGGACTAGCCTGAAGTCCTCACAATAGCGCGAGCGGGGTTAGGGTTAGGATTTAGGGCCGCTAACTCTAAGCCCTCTTCCCCCCTACTATGGCGCTCCTGTATGCAGCGCGTGCAAGGCAGATGCGGGCTTTCTGGCCCCCACTGAGGGCAATGCCCTTCTCTCCCACCTTCGGCTGATTTTGCAAAAAGGGTTAAGGATCGAGAAATTCAACCGTTCTACCTTGCGTGGTGGGTGTTGCTTGTGTAACAAGCTGAAGAAAATGCCTTCCTGATCATGGAACGTGGGAGCGAAGACCCAAACACGAAATTGCGTATGCAAATGTACTGTGACGGGCCAACAGCTCATGTCTGCTGTTGCCAGCAAGCCGCCCGGGTCTGATCGCCAGCCTGAAGATTCTTCAGGTCCTGCCACACTCTTAAGTCTTAAGGCTTGGTCCTCTAAACCCTAAACCCGAAATCCGAACCCTAAACCAGAAACCTTCTTGAGGCAGCAACCCCCTAGTTCTCATTCTGGCAGGCCTGCAACGTGATCCATCTGCTACCTCCATTGCCCACCCGACACCCTAACCCAGAAACGGGACCACAGGCCTCCCCTACAAGACTCAGCTCTCCTCCTCCAAGTCACAGCTTCGGAGGCAGTCTTTGTAGTGGATCTGCACCGAGTTGTAACAGTGGCTTATGCCAATGGGCTGGTTCCTCTTTTCAGCTAGGGAGTGCCCAAGTTCTTTCGAGGCATATTGCAAGTTCCGGACATGTCCGCAGTTCAGCTTTGCGTGCATCTGGGGTCCAAGGTACAAGCCAAGCAACAAATACACGTTGTCGAGAGGCTTTAGGGTTTAGGGTATAGGGTTTGGGGTTTAGGGTGTAAGGTCTGAGGTTGCAAACATAGCACGGGAAGCACATGTAGGCTGCTTAGCTGAGAGCTTTTTAAGGGTATCGGTATAGGGTTTGGGGTTTTTTGGACCTAAACCCTACACTGCCCTAAACCCTTAAACCCTAAACCCTTGAACCCTAAACCCTAAACCCTTGAGTGGCCTCTGAGTATGGCTCCCCAAAGAGGATGTTCTGTCGGATCCTTGGCTCGGCAATCGGGCCGAAAGTCACGGCTTCCTTTTTTTACAATGCGAGTCGCTTTGCCTCCCCCTTAACCCTTTGCCCTAAACCCTAAACCCTGAACCCTAAACCCAAAAATGGAAACAAAACGGGTTTCGGGACGCCCTCACGTCCGAAACCCGCAACCTGTCGCAACCGGGCGATGTTTCTCTGAATTTCAAGTCTGCTGAAGAGCTAGCTTGGGCTTCGAGGCGTTCTAGCTTTCACTAGTCAAGAGCAGCTCCAGCCCTTAACAGTTGGAACCTGTCACATTGTCTGTTGGAGCCCTCCGTATGCTGAGGTGCTTGGAAGGGAAAGTGGAAAGGCCTAAATCCCAATTAAATCCTAAAGGGGTAAAAACCGGAGGCTTCCTGAGCCCTGGCCCTGCAGCCCCTAAGCCACCCAAACCCTAAACCTCTCTGACTGTTAAACCCTAATGAGTTCGCCGGCCAATGTCAAAACTTCGCCGGCAGTTGTCAACAAGTTACGCCGGCGATGGCAAAAAACAATTGCCGATGAACTTCTTACATTTGCCGGCGAACATCTGACATTTACCGGCGAGCTTTTAACAACTGCCGCGAGCTTTTGATATTCTTCCGGCGAAGTTTTGACACTTGCCCGGCAAATGTTAGCAATTGTCGGAGGTCCGCCAGGAATTGTCTTTTGCAATTGCCTGGGGCATAGGGTTTTGGGGCCATGGGGTTTGGGGCATAGGTTTGAGCGCCCTAGGGTGTGTGGGATAGGGTTTAGGGCTTATGGGGTTTAGGCTTATAGGTTCAGGGCTAGGGTTTGGGGCCCTAGGGCTTATGCAGAGGGTTTAAGACCCCAAGGTTTGGGCATAGGGCTTAGGGCCCCAGATTCCGGGGCATCATGCTTAGGGGTCGAGGGTGTGGGCAGAGGGTTTTAAGTTCTAAAGTTTAGGGCACAGGGTTTGGGGCTCCAGTTGGGGCACAGGGTTTAGGGCCTTATGAGGGCTTGGGTAGGGGGCGTGAGGAAACACAGACTTTGTTATGGGATTCTCTGGGTGGGTTGGTACTTTTCCAATACGAGTGAATGCTTGGACTTGAGATGCTGAAGCCTAGACACTAAACCCTAAACCCTACACCCTAAACCCTAAACCCTAGACCCTGCTTCCGAAACTCGTGGCGTTGAAGACCCACGGCTGCTGTGGCACGAAAGCGATGGGCTTGGTCCGGGAGACCTCACCCAGGTTTTTGTTCGGAGGGGTTTAGGATTTAGGGTTTAGGGGTTAGGGTTTAGGGTTTAGGGTTCATTTGAGCTTTAGGGTCCACACATCTGGACAGCACATGCTCGCATTTTAGTTGCCCCTCAGCTGCCGACTTTGCCTGGCGCCACTATTATGGAATGGAATGCGCAGCTCTTATCCATCATTCAGAAGATCCAGACCATCTTGGATAATCTTTAAACAAGCAGTCTCAGACTTGCAGTCTGTTTGCCTCCAACGCCCCCAACCAGCCCGATGCCACAGACCAAGGCCAGTTGTGGCTTAGGTCTGGCGGCTGGAACCCTAAACTCTAAACCCTAAACCCCAACCCCCTCCCCCCCCCCCAAAAAAAAAAAAAATAAATAAAAACCAACAAGAAGGCACCTCGACCTTGCCAGACCCCTCTTTCTTTGGCATCTCGCCTCAGACAACTGCGCCACTGAAAGTAACTCGGCTTAGGGTTTAGGGCTAGGTCCTTGAAAGGGGGGAACAAAATGCCAGTTCGGGTTTAGGGCTAGGGTTTAGGGTCGGGGTTTAGGGTTTAGGGTTTTAGGGTCTTCAGGTTCATAAATTGGGTACCTTCGAGCTTGGTTAATTTCCTTGTCTCCTTCGCTCCCCAAACCCCAAACCCTAAAACAACCCCAAACCCTAAATCCCGAACCCTAAACCTAAACCCTAAACTCTAAACCCCCAAACCCTAAACCCCAAACCCTAAACCCTAAACCCCAAACCCTAAACCCTAAACCTTGAGCGGAAGGCTGCCCAGTCGCCCAGCAAAGCCTGCAAGAAGGACGACTTTCCAGAACCCGTCGGGCCGACCACTGCAACAAGGGAGCCCTTCTGTACCTGAGCATTTTGGGGCTTAGGGTGTAGGGTTTAGGGTTTAGGGTTTAGGGTTTAGGGTTCGGGGTTTAGGGTTTATGGTTTAGGGTTTAGGGTTTAGGGCTACTAACCCCCAGACCCTGAATAGCGGCTTTTCGGAGATCGACATCATAAGACCCAGTTGCATGCAGTGTCAAGTCTTCGAGCTGAAAGTCGCCTTCGGAGCAGGGTGTGGGGGTCGTGGGTTTAGGGTGAGGGTTTAGGGTTTAGGGTTTAGGGTTTAGGGTTTAGGGTTTAGGGTTTAGGGTTTAGGGTTTAGGGTTTAGGGTTTAGGGTTTAGGGTTTAGGGCTTAGGGCTTAGGGCTTAGGTTTAGGGTTTAGGGTTTAAATTTAGGGTTTAGGGTTTAGGGTTTAGGGTTTGGCGGTTTGGCGGTTTGGCGGTTTGACGGTATGGCGGTTTGGCGGTTTGGCGGCATGGCGGTTTGGCGGTTTGGCGGTATGGCGGTTTGGCGGTTTGGCGGTTTGAGGGTTGAGGGTTTGAGGGTTTGAGGGTTTGGGGGTTTGAGGGTTTGGGTGGCTAAGGTTTCCGGTACGTGATAAGGTCTAGCGCCTAGGGCTTGGAGGGTCCAACCTACTACACAAAAGCGCCACCTCGGTTTAGAATACGTGTTCCGGCATAGGGACATGAAAGCATGCAGAGCTGCATAACCCAAAAGGCCGATGTGCGCCGACACAGTCAGATGCTAAGATCGACGCATCATGAGAACCAGAAGTGGACCACAACGAGAGAAGGACGGTAATGATCACGAAGTCTCACCGCAAGGTCGTCTCGAGAAGACCAGCAACGCCGACAGAAACAAAGAGCAGCAACAAAGTGCAGCGACGGTAGCAGCTCTCTTTGCTTAGTGTCTTATTGGTCCACATCCACCGCAGATCCTCGGAAGAGTTACTGAGAACGGACAAGCGGGAACCCCATGCAGAAAGCAAGCGTGAAGAGCATCTTCTCGGGACTCGCACAACACAAGCTCGGAACATCATCTCGCAATCTCCTCTCATATCCACACATGACAACAACCAAAGATATCATCATAAATAAAACCATAACCATGAGCGAATTATTTACTCACTCGAAGCTGCCACCACTACTGGGAGGTTCAGGGTACTTATAGCCCCAATATGCCCCAATTATAACTGCACTTAGAAGCTCCTAAAGTCCTCGCAGTAGGTTATAAGCAGACTGATACTTGGGGCTATAAGCCCTAAACCCTAAACCCTACACCCTAAACCCTAAACAGCTTTAATTCGGGCTTCAAGTACCCATGATCCTCCAAGCAGATCATCGCTAGAACCTCCCGCCTCGCCGCTCCCCCTGCTCCATGGACTCTGGGTTCCGGCTACCTTCTTCTGATTCCTGGAGGGAAACAAAGGTGCCAGAATGTAGCCCGAAACCCTAGACCCTAAACCCCAAACCCTAAACCCTGAACTCCAAAACCCCAAACCCTAAACCCTTGGCTTGCTTCGCATCTCTGAAGCTTCCTGTAGAAAGCATCCCCTATTTCCGGCTGCCCAAAATAGGGTACCCTCTCTCGGGGAAGGGGGTCTCAGCATACCAGGAGTACCACTTATTTTGGGGAAATTACCCGTACAAGTCTCCGGTCCATGCAGGGCTCACCTGCGCTGTCTATCATCTATTGAGTTTAGGGTTCAGGTCCACACCTCTCACGTGCAGTTTAGGGCAAGTGCCGAGCTTGGGGCGTTAAGGATTTCGGGTAGCTCCGCCCCCCACGAGTCCGGCCTCATCCTTCCACGCAAAGGATGCGTGGTCCAGGCGAATGGCGCTTCCGGTGTCGAGCTTCAGTGGTGGGACCATGCTGGCCATCGAAGCCCGACGGTGGTGTTCCTGCAGAAGTTGCGTGATCTGTGTTTGAGTCTGGCCCCACAGAAGTCTCTTCGATCACAGCACCATGCTCAAACCTGTTGCTCAGGCTAGAACCACCCTAATCCCGAAGCCCTACGCCCGAAGCCCTAAGCCCCAAGCCTTAAGCCCTAAACCCAACTCTCCCCAAAATCAGGCAGCGTGACCCGTAAGGCCTCCTGCGCAGACGGAAGGAAGGTTCCCAAGGCAGAGATGGCGGGCAGCTGGGACTCGGTGAGCCAGAAGAGCCCTGCGGAGCAGGGCATCATATGGCCACAGCGCAGGAGTGAGAAGGGAAGGGGGCCGTAAACCCCTCAACCCCTAAACCTCTAAACCCCCAAACCCTAAAACCTAAACCCCTAAACCCCAAAAGCCCTAGACCCCTAAAACCCCAAGCCCGTTAAGAGATGGTCGCACAGCAGGCCTTCGATCCGCTTGGCCGCCACAAAGGCCTTAGCATGGGGCATGATCGATTGCCCAAGTGTTTAGGGTCTAGGGTTTAGGGTTTAGGGTTTAGGGTTTAGGGTTTAGGGTTTAGGGTTTAGGGTTTAGGGTTTAGGGTTTAGGGTTTAGGGTTTAGGGTTTAGGTACATGCTTTGGAGTATATAAGGGGGTATCCCCTATTCTTGGGGGAAATACCCGGATCGTGTGGTTCTGGCCCTGTGGGTCTCAGAGTCCCCCCCCAAACCCTAAACCGTAAGCCCTAAACCCCAAACCATAAAGCACCTCGATGATGAGGTTCAGCACCCAGGGGATCGTGAAGAGCGGGTCCTCCGAAAGACGAGCGGTTTAGGGTTTAGTGTTTGGGGTCTAGGGTTTACCGGCACAGCACGCAGTCTGGCTCAGAACTTGAAGTTACCAGCTCTTAAGAGCGACTTGAGGAATTAGGTTACCTTGTATCCCCCTAAACCCTAAACCCCGAACCCGAAACCCTAAACCCTAAACCCCAGAAAGGATTTACACACACGGTACTTGCTAAGAACCACCAAGTTAATCGAAGGGCCACGGTCCTGGACCATGCTAAGGAGGCTGATGGCGGTGAAGGCTTGTGCAGGAGTGAGAGGCTTCTCTGGGTTCCTGGGTTTGGAGTTTAGGGTTTGGGGTTTGGGGTTTGGGGTTTGGGGTTTGGGGTTTGGGGTTTAGGGTTGAGGGTTCAGGGTTCAGCTTTCAGGGTTTGGGGCGACCGTGGGTAAAGTTGAGACCCTACAGTCTTCATCTTCATATACGGATCTTCAAGTCCCTAGTATCGCTGGCTTTTGCTACAAGAGTTCTGCATATTATGAAGCAACATCTGCCTGAACGGCATAGTACAGGGCATAAGCTTTCAAAGGTTTGGCTGTAAGATCCCGGAAGGAACACATCCCAGGTTTAGGGCCTCGGGCTTTGCAGTTGTCATGCTGGTAAGCACAGATACTACACTGGTTCATGGCCAAGAGATCGAGACAGTTATGCTCTGGGGTTTCGAGGGCATGGGGTTTCGGGGTTTCTTTGTAAATTCAGGGTTTGGAGTTTAGGGTTCGAGGTTTGCCGTTTAGGGCTGGGTTGAAAGTGTAGGGTTTAGGGTTTAAGGCTTAGGGTTTAGGGTTTAAAGTTTAGAGTTTAGGGTTTCGGGCTAGTGGGTCGGAATTGCATGCCATGGGTCAGCCAGGTGTAGGATGCAAACATCAAGGCGGTGCAGCAAGGGACCTCAGGGTAACAGCTCCGAGCAGTCATAGGCTTTGGGGTTTTCTATACAGGGCATCCTTTGAACAAGGCATAAATTTACTAATCCCCAAACAGGGCGGCAGCATCTAGATTCTCACCCTTGAGCCCTTGAAATTTAAGCCTATCCAATCCCTCTTAAGCCCTAAACCCCTAAACCCTGCAGACCCTCGAACCCGACAATCTTCAAGACCCCTAAACCCTAAACCCTCAACCCCAAACCCTAAACTCCAAGACGAAGCCCCACGGCATGGCATCGATCAAACCCCCCCACATGTAAGCTCTGGGCGATGCTGGACCAAAGCCCCTCGAAGACTGTGTAGAGGCCTGCTTTCACAGTCTAAGGTTCCAATTTAGCGTGTGGGGTTTAGGGGTTAGGGTGTCCGGGCTTTTCTTACACCCTCATTCTGATGAATCACCGTGAGGTCTAACCACCTCTTGCGGATGGGACTCAGGGTTGAGGGTTTAGGCTTCGGTTGCCCCAAACCCCCCTAAACCCCAAACCCCAAACCCGAAACCCTAGACCCTAAACCCTAAACCCTAAACCCTACACCCTTAGCCTGGAAACCTCCAAACCCTACTTCCTGGATCCGCAAGCCTCAACCCTCAACTCAACATCCCAGAATCCAAAACTGTCCGGACATGCTTGGCAAAGCCCTAAAGCCTAACCTCTAGACCCTAAACCCTAAACCCTAAACAAGAGGCGGGTCGGGCCTCAACCCTAAACAAGAACCTAACACACCAAAAAAAAAGCAAACAAAACAAAACCAAAAAAATAATAAAAGCCCTAAACACCCTCAAACCCCAACACCCTCAAACCCCCCAAACCACTAAAAACCTAAAACACCAAAAAAAACACCTAAACCCTAAACCCAAAAACGACAAAGCCTAAAACCAAAAAAACGACAACAACAAAACAAAAAAACAAAACCCAAAAACAACTAACACCCTGAAACCCTACCTCTGGAAACCTAAACCCCCTAAAACAACCAAAACTCTAAAACCCTAAAACCCCTGACACCCCCTAAAACCCCAAAACTCTAAAAAACCCAACCTACCTAAACCCCATGCCCCCTGAAAAACCTGAAAACCCCAAATCCCCACAACCAAAAAAAGAAAAACAAAACAAACACACGAAAAGCACCGACCGGCGCACAAAAAGCCGAAAACCCCTGAAAAGCCTCTCCGGGTCTCAAAAAAAAGAACACTAAAACCCTCAAACTCCTGAAAACCCCTTGAAAACCCCTGAAAACCTCCTCCGGGTCTCCCGGCAGTAGAGCCGCCAGAGGGCCAACAGCTCGGCGCTCCGCGCCTCCTCCACCTTGGCAGTCGCCGGTTCCTCTGTCGGGGGGGTCTCTAGGGGTTTAGGGATTTATGGGGGTTCAGGGGGTGTAGGGGTTTAGGGGTTTTTTTAGGGGTTTAGGGTTGGGGCTTAGGGTGTTTTGGGGTCTGCGGGTTGAGGATGTCTAGGACATTTGGGGCGTTTAGGGTTTGGAAATCAGAGGTTCGTGCATTGAAGGCGATTGCAGATTCGTTTGTTTGGATTCGAACAACGTTGAGGGGAAGGCACCCAAAACCCCCTCAAACCCTAAACTGCCTGGTATGGGGGTTTCGGAGACATATAGGGGTTGTCGGACATGTCCTCCCAGCCATAGCACTTGATGACGTTGATGGACGAAATCACCTGTAGGACGTGGTGGGCAGTTCCCTGAGTGTCGGTCATTTCTGGAATTCCTACTCTAATCCGGAGCCTTGCAATTAAGTTGCCCAAAGAGGGATCACCATGTAACAGTGTCTCATGCACTGGTCCTAAACCCTAAACCCTAAACCCTAAACACGCAAAGACGGGTTGACTTCAGGCCTCGGTCACCTTTCGGACGCGCTCGTCCGTGGTCGCCTGCTGCCTGTCCTCCAACCGGTTCATGATGTACATCATCGCCTTGCTAACCCCCAAACCTTAAACCCTAAACCCTAAACCCTAACCCTAAATCCTAACTCGCGTTGAAGGTCCCGTGCTTGGGGTGCAGAATTCAAGTTCGGGTTTAGGGTATGTGACCCAAGGTTCCCCCTAACACTCCCCACTACTCCCTAAGGCTCCCTTACAAGGGATCCTTTATCAGAAGTACCTACGGGGGGGAGACACGCTTCGTTCGAACAGCCCCCATTCTTGGCATGATCTTGGGAACATGGGTTCACACTCGTGACAGGGAGTGGAGCTCTGTTTTGAAAAGGGTTCACGCCCCAAACTGGCCTGAACTCTCAAACCCCAGGCCCTCCACACGAAGGCTCTCATTCCGGCCACGCCGCTGGGTTGAGCAGGATCACCTTAGCCGGTCTGCGGGCAACATACCAGTTCGTTGAGTTTGGGGCGGAGGGGGCTCTAGGGCTGAATAGTTGCAGAGTCTGTTTCCTGTGCACGGTCTAAGTAGGCTTCCTCAGGTACTACCTGCGATGGCAATCATGATGAGACGACAGATTTTCCACATTACAATGCTATCGGCAGAGGGTTGCGTGATTAGGCTTTAGGGTTTAAGGGATACTCAGCAAGACCGTCGGAGGCCATGATGATGCCATGGAGAGGCACGGATGGGAGGGGGGGGGGGGGTCCAGACTTGAGGCAGGCTTCCACCCCCATCCAGCTCAGGCCGATGAAGACCGATGGCCCCACCAAGCTATGCAGAGACCACAGGGAGATGAAGATCTTCAGGGGCGCCTCAGCCAGGCAGCTGCCATGCAAGCGTTCCCCCCGATCTTCAGCTCCGACCTCTCGCGAAGCGCTGGGGCGGAGGCTGTAAGTAGGAGCACATGGAGATAGCGCAGGGCCTCGGGATGGCGCAGGAGGCTTTGCTACCCTAAATCCTAGACCCTAAACCTTGACCATGTAGACTCGCACCGAGGTCCCGACGCGCCGCGCCTTGTCCACATCTGTGGTTATCATGTTGTTCAGCTTGCCCGTAGAGAAGCTAAGCCTTGGCTTTGCTTTGCGTACAGAGGGTTTGTTTAGGGTTTAGGGCTTCGGCCAGTTTAGGGTTTAGAGTATATGGTTTAGGGTTTAGGGTTCGAATAGCTTCAGTGTTTAGGGTTCTAGGCTTTACTCGCACCAAGAGGCATGGAGTCTTGCCGCAGGAGAAGTACCTGATGATGGCTTCGAGTAGGGCAGGCTCCTCTCTTGCATACTTTGGGATGTTCCCCATTGTACTCACAGTCCTTAATCGCATACTATCCCCTATTGTAATCCCTATTAAGGACTGTTATTCCAAGGGGGAACATCCGCATGCTTATTCAAAGCAAGTCCGTGACACCCTTTCGCGCAGTAGACTGGCTGCAGCCAAGAGAACTTTGCGGAAGATGGCGGACACCCTTGGCTGAGACAGGTTCCACTGTGAAGGGTCTGAACATTCATGCGAAAATGCAATATTTGCTTCAGAACCTCCCAAAAACCTAAAAGATACTAATCCCTACACTACCCTTACAAGGAAGAATATATGTTTGTCTTGGGGGGGGTTCTTAAGCAAATAGTAGACAATCTATCAAGAGAACCATGTCACGGCGACACCTATTTTGCCCTAAAGCGAACCCATGTCTGAGCCATCCCGTCCTTGGTAGGGTTGAGGGTTCAGGGTTTAGGGTTTAGGGTTGCGGGTTTTGGGGTTTAGGGCTTCGGGTTTCGGGTTTAGGGTTTAGGGTTTAGGGTTTAGGGAGTCTGGGGATTACTTTCTTCGTTTTTGGGGGTCTTAAGCAAAGAGTAGCTGGCGGTGGGCACACCAAGGATACTCGGTGGCATTGTCTGTGGGATTCTGTGCGAGGTGGGCGAGCACTACTTGCCGGAATTTTGTGGGATTGGGCACTTCAGGGAGACTCGCCGGGAGTCTCAGCAGTTCCGGTACCCCTGGAAACCTTTATATTTGAGAAGCTGCGGCCTAGCGACAGCGATGCTCGAATACGCAGCCCAATCGCCTGCAACCCAACGGACGCGGCAGCATCCACCAGTGCCTCTGGGCACATGGTACTTGGTTTGGGGTTTTGCGTTTAGGGTTTAGGGTTTGGGGTTCAGGGTTCAGGGTTCAGGGTTCAGGGTTCAGGGTTCAGGGTTTAGGGTTTAGGGTTTAGGGTTTAGGGTCTAGGCTTTAGGGTTTAGGCTCTTCCGGAGAAAGCTCAGGGCTCAGGGCTTGGAATCATAGCGTTTTGTTTGGAGCTTTGAGATTTAGGGCTCGGCACAGGTCAACTATCACGAGACGGTTGATGAAACAGCATCGTAATCTGGGGGCCTTAAAAATTAGAACAGGGTTTTGGGGGTTCTTATCGTATATTTATACAGGGACTATAAGGGGATACCATCAGTAATAATCCCGACCCCTATAGTACGCATGGCTGTCCAAACCTAGACCCTCAACTCTGCTCTACGCCACTCCTACTTCTGAGGGCGGCGGGAAAACAAAATGAGAAGACCGGGTCTAGCTGATTGCCACGTGGGTTGGGTTCATGGTGTAGGGTTTAGGGTTTATGGTTTAGGGTGTCGGGTTTCGGGCGTGAAAACTGGCATTTAAGCTGACCCGCGGCTTGAGATTGGCTCCTGCGACCGTGTCAGGAAATGCGAGTCCCTGCGTATTCCCTTGGAAAAGCAGCTAAGGGGGTACCTAACTCCTTTGAAGCTCTACAATCCCAGACACCCTAAACCCTACAACCCTGAAGCCAAAACCCTAAACCACAAAGCCCCTAAACCCGAAACCCTAAGCCCCAAGCCCTCAAACCCAAAAGCCCTCAACCCCCAACGGCCCCCAACCCAAAGGCACAAAGGCTCCGACACATAGGCTCTCGGAAGAGAACAGCGCCAAGCTAAGAAGCAGGCCTGCAGGTCTTCAGGAGGCTTAGGGTTCAACCCTAAACCCTAAACCCTAAACCCGAAACCTGGACCCCAGGGTAAGGAGTTTAGGGCTGAGGCTAAGGGTTTGGGTTTTGACGGTTCAGGGCGCGGAGCTTCGGAGGGTTTCGGGTTTAGGGTTGAGGGTCTAGGGTTTAGGGTTCAGGGTTTAGGGTTTAGGGCTCTGACCACTGGAAAGTTGGCCCCGCCCGCCTTGCCAAACAGGCGCATTGTCCTTGCTGCTCTAGGGGCCCCCAAAACCACATAAACATAAGGATCCTACAAACCATGGCTTTCCGGAATCCCCCTCGTAGCTTATGATTATGTGGTTTTTTGGACCCCTAATTCTCCAACCAGGAAATGAAACAGGTTGAAGTTCGGGTTTCGGGCTTGGGGTTCACGGCTTAGAGCTGCTTTTCTTTTTACCAAAAAATATGTACCCCTTCCGAAGCAAGCGGGTTCAACATCAACTGCTTGGGCCAACAAGCGTCCTGCTCCACGAACTTCACAAGGAGGTTCAAAAACAAGGGAAAGCTGAAGTCAAGAAACGCCTGCGGCCGGGCGCGTTCTGGGGAGGAGGGCTTGGGATCCCGGCGTTCAGGGCTTAGGGTTTGGGCGTAGGGTTTGGGATTTTGATGGGTTGGAGTTGGGGTTCAGGGCTGTTGGGGTTGAGGCGTTACTTCTTGCGGCGCCGAGTTGCCTTCACGACTGCAGAAACAGAGCTGTGCCTGCATCAGCCGCAGCATCCAGTACCATCGCAGCCGCGGGATATGCAACGCCCCCAGCACGCGCAGGAGCAGCCTCGCGAGGGATGTGGGAGGCTCCAAAAACTTGGGTTTCCTAGTGCCTGTCAGCTGAAAGTGAACGCGGCTAGGACGGACAGCCCCCAAGGCCAACAAACGCTAGTTTAGGGTTCCGGGTTTAGGGTTTTAGGGTTTCGGGTTTTGGCTTTAAGGTTTCCCCAACCCTAAACCCTGAACCCCTAAACTCCGAACCCGAAGGCTGGGGCAAACAGGCAGCCAGCCACTCCGCCGGCGCTGCCGCCCTGGCAGGCTACCCACCTGCAGCACCAGGAAGGAGAGTTTAGGGGTTAGGGTTTAGTGTTTGGGGTTTGAGTTGTTTCGATCCGTCTGGGAGCTGTGGTGACTACTCCTGTCTTTGGGCATCTTCAACACGACTTAACGCATAGGGCTTCTGCTAACACACATGTTTCATATGCTACGCAGTTTCTCGCAGTTTCTGCAAGTCTTGGTCGGAATTGCTGATTTTGCCTTGTGCTCACTCTGCCAAAATGGGGTTGAAAACTGAAACCCTAAACCCTGAACCCTACTCAACCCCCTTTTTGAATTTTGGGAGTGCACACCTGCAATCACTCGCCAGGTTTCTGGACAAAGCCCTGGGTTCTGGCGCCTTGGCTCTCCACCGCTCCAGGAAGGACTTCACCTGAACCTCCCGGGGCGAGGGGGGCTTTAGGGCCATTTTGGTGGCTTCTGGGGTTCACGCGTTCGGGGGGATTGGGCATGGAGCTTTAGGGTTTCAGGGTTTTAGGTTGTAAGGGGCAACTGCCAGGCTGTGCGGGTCGACCCCTTCGCAGCCGCAGCCCAACCGCCATCCGTGCTCGCGTTGAGAGTTCAGGTTTAAACCCTGGGTTTTGTAGGGGTTGTACCTTGGACCCTGAAGGTTGTACCCCTTGGTGTTGGGGTACGAGTCATAATCCCTTATATAATCCCTTGAGAATTAACAACTCCGAGCCCTAAACCCTAAACCCTATAAACCCCAAACCCTAAACCCCAAACCCTCTACAGATCGCACCTCTGGCCTGGCGTCTGCTTCGACCTCGAAGAGGTCGGAAACCTCCGGAAGCAAACTTCTAAAACCCGAAAACCCTAAACCATAGCCCTAAACCCGAAACCCTGAACCCTAGCCCTAAACCCTAAACCCCTAACCCCTGAAACCCTGAAACCCTGAAATCCTCAAGCCCTGGAACCCTAAAGGCCCTGAAACCCCTAGAAGCCTAACACCCTGATTCCCTGAAACACTGGGGCATCGGAGCTGCGTACTGGGACGACGTGGCTTGGGGCTTGGGCTCTTGGGGTGTAGGTACTGGGGGCCTCAGGGTTAAGCTCCAAAACCTTCAAACCCTAAAACCCGGCAAGGTGAACAAACGGCAAGAGAGGGACAACACTGAACCCTGAACCCTCAACCTTAGCCGTGGGCCCTGACCCCCGACAACCCGCCTGCAGCTGCTCCACATCAGCCGAGCGCCGGCACAGTGGAAACACCCAGGTCAAGAAGGACCGTGAGATGCAGTTACCCTCGGACAGAAGCATCTGGGGGGATGGGCCACAAGATGGACGTTGTTCGGTTCCCTAAGCTGTGTACCCAGAGAAGCCCAGAAACGCATAGTAAGTTCGTTGTACCCACAATCAAGGCCCCCAGCTGCAGCTCAGGGCATTCGGGTGATTCCTCACTAAACCCTAAATCCTAAATCCTAAATCCTAAACCCTAAACCCTAAACCCTAAACCCTAAACCCTAAACCCTAAACCCAAACCCTAAACCCTAAACCCTAAACCCTAAACCCTAAACCCTAAACCCTGTCCGTGGAGCCTCGGCCCAAACTCTGCAAAACGCACTTCTCCAACAGGGCTTTGGGTGCTTTGAGGGTTTTTAGAGTTTCTAGGGCCTTTCGGGGCTTTTTAGGGCTTTTCGTTCTTGAGGCTTTTTTACGGTGTTGAGGGTTTGGGGCGGGGTTTTAGGGCTTTTGGGTTGAGGGGCTGAGTGTTCGGGAGCTCTCTCCACCAAAGCACAGGCGAATGGGACTTGGGGCTGGGGGGCTCAAGGGTTCAAGGCCTTAACCCTAAACCCTAAACCCCTAAAACCCCTAAAACCCCCAAAACCCCTAAACCTCTAAGCCCCTAAACCCTAAGCCCTTAAAACCCCTAAACCCCTACACCCTAAACCCCTAAACCCCTAAAACCCCTAAACCCTAAACCACTAAACCCATACAAGCCCCAGGACCTGGAAGGCTTCATTGCTTGGCTCCGCCGCCAGTGGCGCGTCCAACTGCCGCGCGCTCTCAACATCCATTGCTGGAGCTGGAAAAACGTAATCTGCTCCTTTTAAGATGGCGTTCGTCGGAACCTACCTATTCAGGGTTTGGGGTTTAGGGTTTCGGGTTTAGGGTTTAGGGTTTAGGGTTTAGGGTTTAGGGTTTAAGGGTAAAGATGGATAGCATCGGAGCCTACTTATTTAGGGTCCCTTTTGAAGTGGGTTCTTCATGTTAGGGAGAAGCTCTCCATACCCTAGCCGTTTTGATTCCGGAGTCCGTTGGGCCCTCCTTAAACATATGGCTTGCCGGGACTTAAGCAGAACGGCTGCCGGTGATGGCTCCAGGGTTTTGGGTTTCGAGGTTCGAAGTTCGAGGTTCGAGGTTCGAGGTTCGGGGGTTATAAGGGTTTAGGAGGGTGCAGGGGTTAGGGGGGTCGAGTTGGGCTGGGAATCTGTTCCACGCAAGCTCATTGCGCTCGGCAGCAAACAGCCGGCCTGTATCGCAGATCTCGCAGTCGGTCCCATTGTGTAGATCGGCGCACGTGCCTGAATGCACTCGAGGCAGACACGGCAAGAACCCTAAACCCTAAACCCTAAACCCTCAATACTACAAAAGGGGACTTTGGGTTCAAAAGCTTTGATCTCCGCATAGGCCCTTCTAGAGAGCCCCGAAAACATGATGAGGAACATGGGGGGGTTTCCGAAACTAGGGGTACCTTATTGGGATCCTTGTTATAAGGGGATGCTACTATTTGGGGTCTATTTTCGGGGTCCCCTATTTTCGTAAACCCCTCCATGTACGATAATGGAGCGGCAACCAAGGTCCAAAACCTCCAATTGGGCCTTGGCGGCCGCTTTCAAAGCCCGGCCAAGCTTGGCAGAACCCCCTAAGGGTAAACCCTAAACCCCAAAACCCTAAACCCGAAATACCCTAAACCCTAAACCCGAAATCCCTAAACCCTGAACCCTAAACCCTAAACCCTAAACCCTAAACCATAAACCCTATGTGGTTTGGGGTTTGGGCTCTGGGCTTGGCCAGTAGGGTGTTAGGTTCCAGGGTATCGTGCAGCTCAGCGCAGGCTTGTCCTGCCGCCCTTGGCGCCCCTTCTGCAGCTAAATGCTGGAGTTAGGGTTTAGGGTTTAGGGTTTAGGGTTTAGGGTTTGGGGTTTAGGGTTTAGGGTTTAGGGTTTAGGGTTTAGGGTTTAGGGTTTAGGGTTTAGGGTTTAGGGTTTAGGGTTTATGGTCTAGGCTGCTGCCGGGTACTAATCTTGCTTGCAGGCTGTATGCATGAGCTGCCCAACTTGAAACCCGGGAACATGTTGGTGGAAGGTGCCTCCCAGGTATGTTCGATCCGGTATTTGCCAAAAAAACCCTCAAACCCTAGCGCCATGCGGTCGCTTCGGCCATCTGGGGCAAGGGCAGGTGCCATCACCATCCGCGCCATCGTTGCCTCTCGTAGCAGGCTCCTGCCTTGACACCTCTTCTTATTCCTTTTGCCTTGTCCTGGGTACCCCTTAAACCTATACTGGAAGATACCGCGAAGAGAGAGCGGACGGATGCGAATTCGCTTCATGCTCTCTTGCCCATGGACTTTCGGATCGCTTGCATAAACCCTAAACCCTAAACCCGAAACCCTAAACCCTAAACCCTAAACCCCTAACCCTAAACCCTAAACCCTAAACCCTAAACCATGTCTGCCCGTAAGCTCCGCACAGGACACCGTTCCGGGGTACACGCAGCTGCAGGAGTCCCGGCCTCGGCACTGGCAGCCCACGAGTCGATACGACACTGGCAACACATGCCGGAGGTTGCGATAAGAGCTGCGGTTTAGGGTTTAGGGTTAGGGTTTGGGGTTTAGGGTTGGGGGTTTAGGGTTTAGGGTTTAGGGTTTGGGGTTTGGGGTTTAGGGTTTGGGGTTTAGGGTTTGGGGTTTAGGGTTTAGGGTTTTGGGTTTAGGGTTTAGGGTTTAGGGTTTAGGGTTTAGGGTTTAGGGTTTAGGGTTTAGGGTTTACACAAAACCCTTACCCCGAAAGAGCTCTCCAGCCCTTGCGCCAAGGCTGCCGCACAGCGCGCCATACCAGCCAGGATCGCACTTGCAGCCCTGGAGCTAGGGATTTAGGGTTTGGGCTTGGGGTTTGGGGTTGGATTGCGGTTTAGGGTATAGGGTATAGGGTTTAGGTTGAAGGATGTTTAGGGCTTCGGGCTTAGGGCTTAGGGCTTAGGGCTTAGGATTTAGGATCCAGGGGGGTTGAGCTGAGTTATGGGGACCCTTATCGGCACTACGACTTAAGTTAAGTAACACTTTACTCGAGACGCAAGAAGGTGCCCATCGAGCCAGGTCAGGGTTTCCCCGGCATGTGCATCATGTTCTGGCCACCGTTGCCATGAGTGATGGGCCAGCAGCTCGGACAGGAATTTAGGGTTTAGGGTTTGGGGTGTGGGGTTTGGGGGTTAGGGCTTAGGGTTTAGGCTGGGTTTCTTGGGGTTACTTCTAGCCATCCTTTTCGTAAGACTTAAACAGCAGGATCCGCGACAGTATAGACTCGACTTTTTCCCCCAGGCTTAGGGCTTAGGGTGTAGTACCTCCGAATTCCGAGGCCACCGCAACGGAGGGGAAAGAAACGGAATCTCCGGTTGCCTTGGCAAGACTGGGCTACCCCCTCAGTCGCGCATCATGTCTGTGCACCAAGAACATCAGGTCTGGGAGCTGGGGTACATGTCACCCACGATCGCTCCGGTTCAAGGTTTAGGGTTAGGGAGCTAAACCGAAACCCTTACCCTGAACCCTACACCTTAAACCCTAACCCTAAACCCTTGGGGCTCTCATGCTTCTAAGTGCCCGACAGCCTCCGCAATGTCTGCATTCAGAACGTTCGACACCTCACCAGCAAACACGCCTGTGATACTCAGCTGCCCAAGCCATTATTCTTGCAGCTCTTGATCAGGAGAAGGGAATCAACTACTATGCAAAGGGTCTGCGAACTCCAGAAGATCTGCTAGCGTTGGGGTAAGCCACTCTTGGTTCTGACCCCTAAACTCGAAACCCTGTGACTCTCTAAGGTGCACACGCAGTACCCGGAGCCACAGTCCGGACCTGCAGGAGTCTTGTTGAGAGGGCTCAGGGTCTTGGAGTTCGGGCTCCGGGACTTCAGGTGCGAAATTTTAGGGCTCAGTGTTTAGGGCTTAGGGTTGAGTGTTCGAAAAGTTGAAAGTTGCAGGTTTCGGGTTCAGGGTTCATACAGGGCTCATAAGGCGGGTTTAAGGATTCGGGTTGAGGCCCCGAAGCCGGTGGCCCGGCTGCACCCTGCAACTGCGCACATGCTTCGAGGGGAGCCCGAAGTGCGCGAAAAAGCCTGGCACTAAGCTGAACCTTCTGGTTCTTGGTAGGGAATGAGGGAATTAGGGCCCTATAGACATATATATATATATATATAATATACACTTTCAGGGATTATGTAGGGTACCTCATTCCAAAATCCACCAAAAACCTCGGAAAGATGAACTGCCTAGTACATCCTTCCTGTCACATCTCTTTACGCTTTCAGAAAACTCCCTGTAAAAAGGCGGATTGCCGCTAATCTTCATTAGGGGCACGGGTTCCTGCCCAAAACGGAGACATCGAGAACTCCCTATCAAAGTAACTACACATCATGGGGTTCTGCTGAACAAGAACCCGTCGACAATTTGTCGAAGAAGACATGACTTTAAGGTTTCACTTGGCCTTCATCCTGCACGCACAACAACGGAGACAACGTTTGAAAAGCAAACAAGAGAAGTAAGACAAACAAGAAGCCGTCAGGGATCACAGCTGCGATACGCGGCGGTACAGCCCGGTGCAAATACTAGCTTCCCATCAAATCAGGGTAAGCCATCTGCAGTCTCATGTGCCGCCGCGCCAGGGGTACGTCTGTCTTGTTCAGAAATGGAGTCAGCAACGATGCTTAAAACTTAAGACCGCTGATATGACATGGAAAGAGATAGTGACTTGATTCGATTAGCATGCCTGATTCGATTAACATGCCTCACAATGCTACGCCGTTAGGAGCCAAACACTCACGAACAACCAAAGGACCTCAAGGACGAACGGAGCCACCGCCTGACCCAGCGTACCACGCAGAGGTGAAGCAAGCTCCTTTGCCACCGCACGAGGCTTCTTCAGAACGACAAAATGCAAGAAAGTAAACAAATTCCTTCCAACGCGACGTACTGGCAGGACAACCGCAGCCAAGAAATTCTGGACCATCGTGGCAGCCGACAGCAAAGGCCCGCTTCAGCATCACCAAGGTAGCAAGCTTCGCCCATCAACAGAAAAGGTGGCTTAACGACTACAAGGAACACAAATGCAACCATCTTGGCTTTCATGACCACTGGCAGCTTTGGGATTGCAGAACAAGCAAACTTCCAGGCCTCCATGGTCATAGGAAGTGCAGCGACATGGAGTTTGCTCATGAACTGAAGAAGGAAACAAGCCAAGACGGTAAATTAATCACCACGGGAAAGATTACGAGTTGCTTTGCCGCTTGCCTGACTGAGACTGCCTCAGCCATCGCCTTTGCTTCTTGTTGAAACCTCTTCTTGACAAGGCCTGCTTCAAACTGCGCTTTGTGCATGGCCTCCCTCACTGGTTTGTCCACGCCACCCCACGAGCGGCAGCTTGTTCTGAAAGCCTGCGCCTGTTGGTGCGGAAGTGCCGAAGCCTCACAGAAACCGTACCGCGGCAGAGAATGAAGCAGCATCTTGGGGAGGAACGACGGCTTCAATGCGGAAACGGCCATTATCGCGACGAAGAGCACGCGGCGAAGGCGCCGGTATGATGGCATGGTGTTGAAGCGACGACTACCAATGCTAGCCCCGGCCTGAGCGAAAAAAATGGTCACGCGCAGGGTGATGGTGGAGTGCCCAGACAAGGTCGCTTGTTGAGAAAACTGATCAAGACATTGGTGAGCACTCGGCCAGCGCCCCAACCATCAGAGCCACCCAAGCCCAAAACCTCACACCTCAACCCTCAATCCGACACCCTCAACCCGAAAACTTAAACCCCCAACCTGAAAAATGACATAATGACAC